AACTGGAGAATCAATAATCTACTCCGGTCACCCAGACGCCAACCACGAGCACACTGAGGGAGTGGCTATCATGATGTCCTCAAGAGCATCGAAGGCTCTCATGCAGTGGGAACCAATCTCCTCCAGGATCATGACAGCAAGATTCAACTCAAAAGGAAGAAAGGTCACAATCATACAATGTTATGCACCTACAAATAATGCAGAGCAAGAGAAAAAGGAGGAATTCTACAGACAACTTCAATCAACACTGGACAAGACGTCAGTTGGCGATATCAAAATTCTAATGGGCGACATGAATGCCAAACTGGGAGGGGACAACACAGGAAGAGAACTAACCATGGGTCGAGAGGCGCTAGGTGAAATGAATGAGAATGGAGAATTGTTTGCAGAATTCTGTGCATTCAACGATTTGGTGATTGGAGGCAGTGTGTTCAGGCACAAAGATATCCACAAAGCGACATGGATTTCACCAGATGGACACACTAAAAATCAAATCGACTTTATCTCAATCTCAAGAAAATGGAGACGCAGTCTACTTAACACAAGGTCAAGAAGAGGAGCAGATGTAGGTTCAGACCACTACTATCTAGTGCAAGGAACCTTCCAAATCAAGTTAAAAGCCTTCAAGGAAGCTGGTGATAGACCTCAATTCAAGTACAACACTAGGAAACTGAAGGATGAAACTACAAAGGAGATCTTCACGGCAGCCATCAAGACAAAATGGGAGACATCGAGGGACATCCCTGAAGAAACCTGTGTGGAAGAACACTGGAAGTCTTTGAAAGCTATGTGGAAAGAAACCTGCACAACAGTATTAGGAAGGAAGAAGAAAGAAGACAAGGAATGGATCTCGACGGATACCTGGAAGCTGATAGAGGAGAGGAGGATGGTGAAGCAGAAGATAAACCAGTGCAAGGATGCTCAACGACAAGAGGAACTGAGCACAATGTATAAAACACTGGACAAAGAAGTGAAGAAGAGTGCACGCAAAGACAAAAGACACTTCTACGACACACTGGCAAGTGAAGCAGAACAGGCTGCAGGTAAGAGAGACCTGACGACATTGTATCAAATAACCAGGTTGCTATCAGGGAAGAGACCAACACAGATGAAACCAATAAAAGATGAAGAAGGAAATTTAATTACAAAAGAAGAGAAACAGAGGAAACGATGGGCCGACCACTTCAAGAAGCTCTTGAATCGACCACCACCTGCACTTCGTCCAGAAATACCACCTGCAGCCGCTGAACTACAAGTGAACATTAATCCCCCAACGAAAATGGAAGTCCTGAACGCCATAAAGCTACTGAAATGCGGGAAAGCAGCAGGACCAGATGGAATACCGCCAGAAGCACTGAGAACAGATGCAGAGACAACAGCGGACATGCTCACACCACTATTGCAGAAGGTGTGGAGGGAAGAGAAGGTACCTGACGATTGGAAGAAGGGTTACCTTGTCAAACTGCCGAAGAAGGGAGACCTCAGTGCTTGCAAGAACTGGCGCGGAATCACTCTCCTGTCCACCCCAAGTAAAATATTAAGCCGCATCATCCTGGAGAGGCTTAAAGACGCACTGGATTCAAAACTGCGACCGGAACAGGCAGGCTTCAGGAAGTACAAATCATGTGCTGACCAAATTGCAACGCTTCGTATCATCATAGAACAGAGCGTAGAATGGCAATCAGCTCTCTACCTCAACTTCATCGACTTTGAGAAGGCCTTTGACAGCGTCGACCGAGAAGTAATTTGGAAACTGCTTCAATACTACGGAGTACCGCAAACCTTTATCCGCCTCATTCAACAACTATATGAAGATGCCACATGCCAAGTAATCCACAATGGGAAGCTCAGTCAGTGATGCCTTTGAAGTGAAGACAGGAGTGAAACAAGGTTGCCTACTATCCCCCATGATATTCCTTATTGTGGTGGACTGGATCATGCAGCAAACAGTAGGCAGCGAGAAGAGGGGGATACACTGGACGACGGAAAAGAACCTAGAAGACTTGGATTTCGCCGATGACTTATGCCTAATGTCACATAAACTTGAAGATCTGCAGGCAAAAACTAACAAGTTGACAGAAGAGGCAGCCAAGACGGGACTTCAGGTGAATATAGAGAAGACAGAAGTGATGAAGATACCGCACCACCACCATCAACAACAACAACAACAAACTCCAATCACCGTCAACGGGAGAAACTTGAAGGAAGTAACCTCCTTCACTTATCTAGGAAGCACTGTTTCAACTACAGGCGGGACGGACGAGGACGTCAAAGTCAGAATCGGAAAAGCAAGACAGGCGTTCATTAGCCTGAAACCAGTGTGGAGATCTTCTGCACTCAGCATGCGAACAAGATACGGATTTTCAACACCAACGTCAAGTCAGTGCTCTTGTATGGCTCAGAGACTTGGCGCGTCACGAAAGGCATTTCCAATAAACTACAGACATTCATCAACAACTGCTTACGCTCGCTGCTGAAGATCAGATGGCCAGAAAAAATAAGCAACAAGGAACTCTGGGAACGAACCAACCAAGAACCTATCACGCAACAAATATGCAGGAGGAAGTGGAGATGGATTGGCCATGCACTGAGAAGGCCGACTGAGGACATCACGCGTCAGGCCCTCGAGTGGAATCCCCATGGGAAGCGACGAGTTGGACGTCCGAGGGTGACATGGAGGAGGTCATGCGAGGAGGAAATGAGAGCTTCTGGGACCAGGTTCAAAAGATCTCAGAGAACAGAGGTCACTGGAGGCGTGCTACTGAAGCCCTATGTTCCACTAGGAACCCAAGGGACTAATAATAATAATAAATGAACACTGCTTATTTGGATGAAAATAAGGAGTATAGAGCGCAACATAGAGAAATCCAAAAGTGATGGCAGTCGGTTAGTGAAGATTCAGGAGGGAAGAAGGTATAATATAAATGGGGGATTTAGGGGGTAGGAAAATTATTACGCCAAACAAAGAAAATATTTCTAAACGTGACCTTAATAGTCAAATTAAATATTTTTATCATATGATTGTAATTTTCCAATAAACAATAAATGCTGCTCCATTGAACTTGTTTTCTGATATGACCGAGTAGAAATGACTGACAGGATAATACAAAATATAAAAAACGCTACTCAAACCATGAGACACTTGGACTGTATGTGAATAGCCACTGTTCTTCCCTAGACCTGATACCCTACTGAGCCGCAAAAATCAGAAGACAAAGACCAGGATGCTACTGTAAGGAAGATAAAAAGCCCATCATTTATATGGTTTTTCCTCAGAAAATAAAGCCACTAGGTCAAAAATTGGATGCTTATTTTCACTGGTCAGCTGATGGACGAAATTGTTCAATAAGGTTTTCCTACGCACATAATAATAAAAAACCAAGGTTGAAATTCAAAACTTCTAACTTGGCGACTGATGCTTTAGAATGCTGATTTCGAATTAGGCCACTTCCTATCAGCCTCAATAGAATTATATTTTAGTGTAGTTCAATGAAGTCCTTCTGATACAATTTGTTTATCACCAGCCTTGACTCATTTCAACACATTGTAGTATTCCTAAGTGTGTAAATTGAAGCGTTTTTTGTCAAACTTTACAATCAGTGTGATACAGTTGTTATCAGAGCATGACTTAGATGGGGAATACCGTACATTGATTTTTCCATTGAATGTTTGATGATTGTGCATGAGATATGATTTTTTGATTGCACTTTTTTAAGTGTTGAAATGTCTGTATCATTCAAAGTAATTTTGAAATGTCAACGCCAAATAATTATTTACCGTAAGCTTTTTCACCAAACGTAAAATAACAACGTTTCTGAACTAATCTTTGAATCACTTCCAATGGAGTTTAACAAGTTAACAGTATTGGTAACAAAAAATTGTGCTGAGCAGAATATTAACTAAAACAACATCAGGACTGATAACTTAGACCACAGATTAATGTTAATTACTCTTTTTATCGTTACAAAGTAAGTTGCCTGCTGAGTAATCACGTTCTTCATTAAGTGATTTGGAAGCGATTAAAGCATACATTAATGATTCTAAATATTCAGCGTTGCGTCGTTATGTGTCAGTCTAGTAAAATTAAAGGTAATGTAAAACTTGGACTCTATTCCTTATACACCAAAACGACTGATACCGATATGTGATGACTTCTTTTTACTGTGGCGATTTCAAACGATGCACTCTTGTTCAAAGTTTTACGGAGTTAAGTCTAACAATGACTTAGTTGAAAGAACAAAATCGATTATTGGATAAAGTGAAGTTTACTCATTCAAGTGAACGACTGAACTGGATACATACGGAAAAGAAATTTCCACTTATAGTTTCTGCCTTCAGTTTGGTTGATTCAGAGGTGTTGTTTTACGCGACTAACAACTGTTTGATCTAAACTTTTGAGTGGTAAAGGTTAGATAAAATATTCGACGATAGTTTCCATTATATGACTTAGGGTACTATTAGAAATAGCATTCTGGTTTAGAATTTCTCAACAACATGGAGTAGAGGAGAAAAACTTGTGAGTTCGACAAGTCTAACGTGAAATGATTATCTCATAAATTCAAGATTTTCTATGATGAAAACTAGCTTCAAACTTATCTAGGAAAGAAAAAAACATTCAACCACTAACGAAATTTATCCGGCACACTAATTCCACATACATCTAAAGCTTCAATTTAAGCAGTAGATCTTCTGAGAAGTACACGGGTGTCATAAACAACGCTGTTATTTGATATCAATTCTTTCCTGAATTCGACTGCCACGAATTGAACTGATATACAATTGTTCCAGTTTGCAGACTGCTACAATGAAACGATTATACAGTAGTGAAGGATATCTTTTAAAATGAAATCCATATCAGGTAGTTATTTGCAAAGCATAGCATCTTCAACCCTTTCTCGCATTGTAACCGAAATAAGGGTACATTCCAATGAGCAAACCACCATTAAATAACCCGTTTGAAACCTAGTAGTTACTACATCATCACAGAATACTGGAGTGAACGACTGACATCACTGATCATTGAAACAAAAGTTATTATTCAACTAACATACGCTATAGAAAATATGTACATAAACACAGAGCCACATCAAGTGGCACGGTATAGAAGAAAATTCTAAAAAATCCCCATTAGTGAAGATAGCTCATAAGTAAATACAAAAGTTATTAGATAATGTAACTTCACTTTAAACAGAAATGTATATAAAGGATAAATGCATACATCGATACATTTATCTACAAAATACACGACTGACAACAATCCTATTGGTTTATATTTTGTTAGTGATCAACTAGTTTGATGGAAGTATAGTTACAGAAAAATAAATGTTCAATATAGCTTTAAAAATAGTACAGATCTAGCAAATTAAATGAAGAGTTTATCACCATCTAAGTAGTAGTCATTGGCAGCAGAATATGATAGCAGTAATGGTAATATAGAACTGCATACATATATTAGTCTTTCTAATGATAAAATCAAAGCATAAAGGTAGGGGAAAAACAAACAAATTAAAATTACCGCCTCCAACAGAAAATACATAGACAAAGTCAGGAGAATAAGTGGGTAATAGATAACAAATATTAAAAAGGAGGCGCTATGAGTAAGCAAATAAGTAGGTGTATGAATATACAGGTTGATGGAACGGAATGTGTTAAGTAAGTATAATACATGTATACCATACAGTTTGTATTTAAAGAGATTTCAAACCGAAATACACTTATGAACATCTTTCCTTTTTTGCTCTTACAAAAATAACTCGACGTAGTGATTTGTTTTCATATCAACTAGATATTGATTGTGTTGTCTCAGTTGAATATTTTTTAAATACTCGAATGCAACCATTACAGTCAGCTGAGACGACAACTTCACCTAAATATGTCCATGTTCGTCGATCTTCAGAAAATGGTAATTGATTGGACCATAATGGTTTATGATGGTGATAACAGCTCCCGTTACTTCCTTCTGAATGACTTGAAACAATAAATGAACTCCGTGTTTTCGGCTCGAAATAATGTTTATCCAATACTAAATTTGGATTTGGACTAAAGACTGCTACAGTGACCATAGTATCGTGAGCTTTAATAGCCTCCCAACAATTATTTCTATCTTTACGCACACGTGAAAATCGTGATACTCTGTCAACATCTAGTGATTTTTGCCATATATAAAAGAAGGCATTCTCTGAACCTGATATTAGATAACGACCAGTTGGACTGTGAAAATACAAAAATAAAACAAGAGGGTAAGGTGTAAGTACAATGCAAAAAGAAGAATGAATATAGATCTGAAACTCATAGATGGCATACTTGCAGGGGATCATTATCAGCATGGAGAATCTATGATGTCAAGAAATGGTATTCTGTTCTGTTTCATGATGAATTTGTTCTTGGTTCATATACATAAGAGTTGAAGTCTTGAGCTAAGACAGAATGATACCCGGCACATATAATTAGACAACAAAATCTATCACAACAATTTTAATGTATTTGGCTGAAGTGTTGAAGATGGCCATACATAAATCTAGTAGTTTATTTTCTCCAAGCATCAACCGCTGGAGTGCAAATTAAAAATTTATTCCGCTTACTTCGGTTTCACAGATGAATATTAATATAAACAGTTCTCACTTGTTCTAGTCAATTTAATATCAATATAGGACCCAGTATTACTACGTAACGCTTTACGTTGCCATACCTGACACTAAGATATATAAGAAGAAGTTAACAGTTGACGAAACAGAAATGATATAACACAAGTCATTACGGTATAAAACAGAGGCTATAGTAAATAACAAATTGTAAAAGAAAGGTCAGGAAGAAACTAAGATATGGATGAATCTGTTCAAGTGAGATAGATTTCCAGTCATATCACTCAGTCTCCGATTATCGATACGGTTGTCACATAAACTCAGAATAAGAAGTCTACATTTTCAATACGGATCACCCAAACAGTTGAGTACTGGATGGAGTAATCTTGTTTTAGTCTGGCCATCCACAGCTCATCAAAATTCAACCCTACAACAGCTAACATAACGCATAGAAGTAAATAGTAACTAGACCATATCAGCTGATACACAACCACAACCTTATCAACTGACTTACCCGTTTTACCAAAGACTCTACATCTAATCTAATGCTAATGTAGTGTTCAGGTTTGAGCTGCTATCCCTCTTTATTGTGCATGGAAAGTGCAAGAATACGTTGATATAGTAAGCTGAAGTTCGAGAAAGTATTATTAATGTGAGCTTAACAGGTTTTCTTACGATGCAAAAGCGTGTTAGATTTATCTGATTACTACATTTATCAGGTTATACGTGATTTAAATCTAAGCATTTTGCTTAAACCTATCTTTATATGGTCGAAGTGCTACGATTTATTATTTTTTATCGAAATTTATGTTTAAAAAAAATCTTTGCAGTAACTTAGATACAAATATACGCGGATAAAAGTATTGAAGAACATCGTCTTTGATGTTATAGCTTGTGCATCTCCGTCACTGATTGGACCGGAACGATTGACGACTATCGTGACTTAGTGGGTAACGCTTTGGTGGTTGAAGTGATTGGTCATGGGTTCCATTCTAAGTAGCAACAAAATCATCCACTGGAAGGCAGGTACATTCAGCTGACGAGTCTCAGATGGGACGAAATGCGCATCCTAAGTTCTACTGCTAGCCACCATCCATTATTACTATCAAATTTGAAAAACATTCCTTGGATGATGCTTCATGATGTACTCTATATGGCAGATATACATACACATAATTTTCTAAAAAGGAAATGTTAAGCAACCTCTAAAATAACATTCATATTTGCAGAGAAACTTATCAAATGGAATAAATTCACCAGAATGCCGAGAAACGACAGATGGGAAACATACAGACCGACAAACGTTCAAGTGATCATACTTCGCAAGAGGAAGAAAAACGAAATAAAATAATTCCATAATGCAGTTAAGAAAAATGAGAAAATATAAGGGTCAAAATTCAAACAGTGTTTGTAATTTCTGGTATAATTAGAAAAAAGAAGTCCATTAATGCTATAGTGATTGTTTCCCAGTCACTCTACAGACTTGAACCATTTAAAACCTTAATGTCCTGAGGACGTTAAGCAGGCAGTCTGCATGGTTTATATCACCAGTCAAAGACTTCATGGTACTATGTTTAGGTCCAGTTATCCTTAGCTCTGAACCCACCTAATACAACTTTCTACACATCCTAAAATATGAAAATACAGATCACTTAGATTTTTAAAAAGTACTGAGAATAAATTCAAGCACAAATCACTACTACAGAGACATGGGATGAGAAGGTCATAGCCAGAAAACAGCAAAATGAATGTTTACCAAGTATGGCTTCTTTGAAAATCTTCATCTAAAGATAAAGTTTATTATGAACCGACATAAGTTGGAGAATTAATAAAAACCAGACAGCATTAGACAGTCAATTATCTCTAACTTGAAACCGTCTAACAGCATACACTGTCGATAATTAGTGTGCTTAAACTTAAACGACCCAGCAGCAGCGTGTAGGTTTATGCACTAGATGATAAGTCACATCTGTTGTATGCGGACTGATGGTTCTAACTAGGTACCTTAGTCCCGGTAGATGAGACAGGGATGGAATACGTGATCAACTATTCAAGAAAACGGAGTATCTAAGTCACTCTACCACCAATTACTGATGAAACTACCTATGGCCAGGTATTTTTGTATTGTAGGATGTAATACAACACCACCACCGGGTTAGATTACAACGATCGTAGAATACCGTGAAAGTATTTTCTAGTACTACTGTAGAATATCCTTCTTCATCCAAGAATAAGGTAAACTCATAGATTATGTTTTTAGTCAATACCAATTTATGACGAACACTACTTGTGAAGAATTCTAAGTTTTGAGCTTTCGATGAACCATGTCAACGAGATAATAATGCATGAGCTAGCTAAGAGATGTGTCATTAAATCTTTATTTGAATGAATTTATGCATTCTTAATCATGCTAATCACATGACTGAACGAAGCAACACTAGACATTTTATAAAAGCATTAAACATTCTGATTATTAGATGCAGAGGTGGAGATTATGATGGGATATTAATGAAATTATAAGTTTAAGAAAGGCAGGTCATTATTAACGATTACACTTAAACATGAAGAGTAAATTTAACTTCTACTACAAAATAAATAAAGAACTCGTGTATTCCTTTCACAAAAGAATGAAATATCTTTGAGATTAACTGATACAGTGTAATGGGTAACTAAAAAGACCACAAATGTAAGATATCACAATTATGACAAGTATAGTTGCTAATGTGATGTTTAAAATAAATTTACTGTACTGCTAAAGATATAACTATAAATTTCTTCTAAATGTAACTTAGAGGTAAAAAAACACAGGAATGCGCAAAACACACCAACTGTAATTAATCTGTCCTATGTAGGAAAAGTATGGAAAAGGTATCTGTTATAAAATTACTGTTGCAGAGAGGGTAAATGTTCTTCAGATGGTAAGAATGTAAAGCTGAAGACGATTCCTGACATTACATTAGAAATTTATCTTGCGACAGGAACACATTATCATCATCAATATCAACATAGGACCAGACATTACTGCCTTATGGTTCGAGTTGCCACACCACATATCAGTACATCAAGTAAAAAGGCAGTGAGGCACAAGATGAAAGTGAGGAAATTCAATCAAAGGAAATATAAAGTACGAAAAGAGAGAAACGAAGAATGAGAAAATTGTGAGATTCGGTATAGCGTTAAGATGAGGATAATGTATGTATACATTTACGCCACTGACATCGGTTCTCAACCATATCACCTAGAGTCTCCAACCACCGCTTTCTCTCCTCCCGCCAACCCCAACCACCTAGTCTGCATCGCCCCACATGGCTCAAACAAACAGTCAGAGACTTCATACATTGGTGACATGTTTGTGTCTGGCCACCTCAGGCCTTTTTACAGCCTCAATCTACTTCAGCCAACATTGTGTGACAAGGCAATCGGTGACTAGGCATATGTAGTACGTGTCCCAACCATCTCAATCCATGAAGGTTCATAACCTCGTCGACTGACTTACCTCTTCTCCATAAAACTCTACACCTGACTTCTGAATTACTCACGTAGTGACACCACGCAATACGGCCTATACTACGAAGGCAAAGGTGGTCAAACACTATAAGCCAACCTTCTCATATCTTTCACCTTCAATGGTCATGTTTCACAGCCATAAACTAGAACAGAGTGGACTGCTGTGCAGTACACGCCACTCTTAATAGATAAACGGATATCACGGCGGCGCCATAGGTGGTGTAAGTTGGCGAAAGCCAATCGAGCCTTTTGTATTCATGCAGAGATTTTGTCGGCAACTGACCCATCAGGGCTGATCCTACTTCCGAGGTAAGTGAAGTGGTTGACACACTCAACCACTTCACTATTTATTGTTAGCCGTGGCACCGCTGAAGACTAGTCCTGGAGCAACAATTTGCATTTGTGTGGTGAGAACCACATCCCAAACATTCTCAAATTCCCACTCAAAGTGTTCAGAAGAGTTTGCATCTTGTCAGCGTCTTCACCTAACGGCAGGAACTAAGAACAGTACTCGCTACATTTCTTTTTTCTTTCACTATCGTTCATTTTTATTGTTCTCATTTCGCTTCTTAAATTGTCTTTTTGTATAGACATCTGCATGACAGTTTTGATCTAACCAAAATGTAATAACTATTTCGATTATCTATTCAGGTTTTAACAATTAGGAAACGCGGATAACACACGGTAAGATGAAAAATAGCTATAGTATTAAAATGAATTGTAGTGGGAGCTTGATGGTAAGCACAAGCTTCATGCTCAATAAGAGGCAATGCAGTTTGATTTCTAAAGTGCCAATATTTCCTATGATGTTGTCTTTCTGCCTCTTAATAACAGAGTTGGTGGGAAGTGTTAAGTCATACTGGAAATTTAGCAGTGTAACTCAGCAATCACATACAGGTTAGTATATCATTTTGTAAGCCACACCTATCTTATAAGATGTAGTGATATTTCTTGGACATTGAAACCCTTGAAGGAGGAAAAGAGTTAGAGCCTATGGCCAACTGGATGAAAGTTAGGTGATTGAAGCAATGAATCACAGTTTTAGGATGACCCAAGTTTTTAAAAAAACACTGATCTCATGAATTTTTCATTTCAAACAGTTCACTATCATTAGTGAGAAGAAAGAATATGCCTAGACAGTTTCACACCGTTATTTATCTGAGTTTATAATTACTTTATCTCAAAAGACATTGGAAACAAAAAAGGTTACTAACTTCTATCTAAAGTGAATTTATTTAATGTAATAGAAACGAAATCAGACAATATAAAAGAAATATGCATATGGATACTTACCTAAAAGATGCACGAATTTGACTAGTTTCATTTACAAATCCTCGGTATTTACACAATGTATGATAGTCACGAGCGTCAACTAAACGTAGACGTGAATCGTTTGATGTAACTAAAATCTGTACAAGAAATAGTAATAAACCAAAAATCAATTCATCATCATATATATAGTGTACTCATCAGTAAAAACAGTTATCACCTAGTGGGTTGCTACTTTGAAGCTCCCGTACTCGGTCATTAAAGCGGAATACACTGGATAACAGGATTCTGAAATCGTAGTTAACCAAGGTACACGAAAGCTAAAGACACAGCGATTTCGGTTGACGAATATTTCCATATTAAACTAAACATCATCAATGATAGTTCATCAAAATCAAATCAAAACTGAGAAAATGACAATGATTTCAATATAAAAAAAAACTATAGAGAAAATAACTATCCTGGTATATTTTTCTTCTGATTTTAAAATATTTGCTACAGTAGGCAATTTGTGAAATCCAACAGTCAATGAGTTTTTGAAAAATTAACCAGTATTATAGGTCATCAAGAACCTATCGCTGAACGAATATGCAGAAGGAAGTGGAGATGAATTGTGTATACACTGAGAAAGCCGACTGAGGACATCACGCTTTAGGCCCTTGAGTGGAACCCAGGTGGGAAGCGACGAGTTTGGCGTCTGAGGCGAGGGTGACATGGAGGAGATCATGAGAGGAAGAAATCACAGCTTGTGGGCCGTCGTGGAACCAGGTTCAAAAAATTTCAGAGAACAGAGTGCTCTGGAGACGTGCTACTGAAGCCCTATGTTCCACTAGGAACCCAAGGGACAAATAATAATAAATTATAGTGATATAAGTATTTAGTTGCTTCATGCTATTTTCATTCTTTATGCTGATGTAAATATACTATCTGAGCTAATTCCGAATCCATTAAAATGATTATTAGACGAGTACGTACATGAACTAAGCGATGTACAGTCACCTAAATGAATTTAAGATTTTCCACGATAATGAATTCGTATTTACCTAAGAACGTTATATGGATACTGACAAGTCATACAACATTGAAGTGAGCCGTGTTCAAAAATGGTAGTCGAGTGTAATTTTAGATTTAGTAGGGATGTTTCTCAGTAATTGAAATGTACATGCTTTAACCATTAAACTATGAGTACGAACCGTTAATCCCTTGTGAAAGTGCAGAAATCCAGATCATATCGCTATTCCTGATATACCGACTGCTTGATGAAAAAGCCGAAAACGGGTCAATCATTTACATTCATGTTTATTTATCAAGTTAGCCTGCTACAAACCAATTTATGTTCATTAGAAGCTGCGTTTAGAAAATTTATTGTTTAACTATTGTGACTCCAAATCGAACCAAATTATAAACTATACACTATAGACAGTTGATATGTGCTCACTAAGATAAAGCGATATATAGTAGTTTTCTGTTAACTGAACGAAATACGTATCTTGATTCACAGAGTTGCATTAGTACTGAGAAGCATACTATCACTTTGGTTAGCCATTTAATGATCAATAAGTGTACATCAGCATCTTAGATTAAGAAAGAATACATACACAAATATATTGAAATTAAGGGAGATCCGAAATTTAGCAGGAAAGCAAAATAATACACACTAAGACATAACGAACATTTAGGCAGTGTCAAGGTATTCACATAGAAGCTCATCTACCAACATACATCGAGCAAATCGATCCGGTAAGGCAAAGTAGCAGTAAATAAAACCTGATACCGTTGAACAGGAGGTGGCTCTCATGTTTTAGTGGACTAGGCGTTTGAAGCGATAGATACCGCATTTGAGAGATATCATTTTTATGGTATGATGGAAGTTCGAATGAGATGTACTACTGGTTGGAAGGGGTGTGTGAATTGTGTTTGTCACAGATGACCAGTAATGCCACGCTGACAATGCCTTTTCATGTCAAGAGGAGATAGGAAAGGTCAACACCAAAAGTCTCTGCTTACGCACCTAATGACTGCAGTTGGAATGCAGTGAAACCTCCCACCGAAAACTGTATAGCCTCCTAATTAGAGCCAAGCGTTCAGAAATGGTTTTCGTTGCAGGTGATTTCAATGCACAAGTGCTTAGACTAGGTTAGCCAAAAGGACACTTACGTGACACTTTCGGAATCCCAGAGGAACGAACAGATAATGGCAATTGAAAGCTACAACAGTGTTCAGACAAGCACTTATTTCTGACCAGCACGAACTTTAAACATTAAAAAAGATGTCTGATGTGGCATCCACCAAGCTCAACTCAAGAATGGACACAGACAGACAATATCTCTATCAATTATCTATGGAGGGTCGACGGAAATTGTCACTCTTTCTGGGGCACGTGTTTGGACAGCGACGGTTTTCTTCGTTCTGAAGGTGGCATTTAACTTCGCCAATGGAGATTTTTTATGGTAATATTTCCAAATCTCCACAACCCCCTCAAAATGTAATATTTCTCATCAAAAGTAGTGGTTGATATGTACATCACTCTATCAAAGTATCTGAACTTGAAAATATATGGGGTTGTTGTAGCCTATGGTGAGCTTTCATGTGACTTGTATGCTTCGAGTCGTGTCCGTCAAGGATGTCCACTCTATCCATTCTTATTCAACTATATCATAAACATGCCAGTAGAGGTCTCCCTTTTTTCCCCTCACTTTCTGCTGATTGGTCTTATCACAAAAGACTCCTTAGTAGATCTAAAATACGCAGATCATATAGTCCTGTTAGGTGAAGATGCTAATAAGATACAGTCTTTTGGATACCTTGAGTAGCGATTTGAGAATCTTTGGGATATGTGTCTCACTACCCGAATGCAAATTGTTGCTTCATAAATGAACTGCACGGGTATCTTGTTTAATACTAGGGAATGAATTGATTGAGGGTATTGTCAACTTTACCTGGAATGTCTAGTCAGCCCTAGTGGGTTAGTAATCAAAGAAATCTCTGCACGGTTTCTAAAGACTCGATATACTTTAGCCAACTTACGCCATCTAGGGGGCTATTGTAATACATGGTCGCCTATTAAGACCCGAAAGTTTTACTCTACAGTTCGCTCTGTTCTATTGTGTAGCTGTGAAACGGCCACTGAAGGATGACGACATGAAGTAGCTTCAGGCGTTCGACCACCACTGCCTTAGTAGCATAGCCCCTTTGTCGTGGTATCCCCGCGTCAGTCATTTCAAAGTCACGTGCAGAGTTGCAGAAAGGAGGAGAAAGTCAGTTGATGAGTTTGTGAACCTTCGTCAACTCAGGTGGCTGGAACGTGTTACGCATGCCTAGTCAATGTCTAACTCGCCTAATGTCCTGATATGAAACGCGGCAACCTATCCAGTATTACCTGGTGCCAGGTTGATGATGACTGGATTCGAATGTTGAATGTCAGCTAAAACACCATCATTCGCACAGTTGCAGGTACATCTGGCTGATGAACTCCAAATGGGACGAAACGTGCATTCAGGATTCCCACTGCTAGGCACCAAGTAAACTCCAACAAAATGAATATTCAGGCAATGTCAAAGTACACACGTAGGATCCTATCCTACCAATAGAGGTTGAATAATTCGATGCAGTATAGCAATGGGAAATTCAAAGTATCAACTTCAAAACTATTTTAAGGGCTTTCTAAGTTTCAGTAAGGTTCTGCTGTTTGAAAATTTATCGAAAAGCTAAACATATGTTATCTAATTTCACAATAAGTAAACAATTCGGCCTAATATAAACGAAAGTATTGTACGTTTCGATATATAAAACAATACAGAATAACTGAATTATTATACTTGAAATAGTGAGTGATTTATCGGATTAAATGTTCACATACTTTTTAAGACATTGAACAAATGTATTTTGTTAAAGTAAATCTGTGTCTCTAATAATAATAATAATAATAATAATGATAAGCACAATGAAGTATGACCTCAAATGATACTTCAGACAAATGGATCCGATTACACCTTTTTTTGTTAATGATGATAAGAATTAATGGTTTACATCTTTGAACACTACCAGTCGACCTCATATTTGGTTGGTTCGAAATGAACTGTAAGTGTTAAAGTAGATAAATAAAGGGCCGAACAACAATATATATATATATATATATATATATATATATATATATATATATATGTCTTTCATAAATAGAGTTATAATATTATTTTAATTAAGCACCTATTATTCTTTAAAACCTCGATCAGTTCATTCAATGTGCAACAAAAAATACTCTGGCTCCCTTGACAGAAAACTATTATCAGTTTGAAAGAAGAGAAAATATAAGTGAATTAAAATACATTACATCAATGACAGATTTGGAAAAAACCACGTAAAATACAGTTCATGAAACTAATTGTATTGTAAATAATATTTTATAATTAGTTCGTGTAGACATGAATAGTATATCAGTTGAATGGATTGCTAATTTTATTTGTTCTAAAAGTCACTTAATTCCCTGATATTCTGAAAGCCAATGAAATTTCACCATGGGGTTACGAAGACCCATTGTGTATTGATCAACATATGCCATTCATCAAAATGTATATCTAAACTGCATGTTCATAGAAGTCAACGTTATAAGCAGACTTTTCTTGAGAGTCTTAGACACAAGTATGTGTGACAAGCTACCAATCAATTAGACCTTTGAAGTGGTGACAACTTCGTACACAAAAGTGAGTTTCTTTTAAAAAGAATCTAGAAATTAAATTATTGTTGATTTGCTTTTTTATTCACGTCATGATTCATTTGGTGATTCAACTGGCTCAGTAAAAATCAGGCAACACCAATTGATGATCACAAAGGAAAACTAGTGTGAAACTGAATTTACGATCCACTATTTTGCGCTAAGATGATAACTGTAGGAAAATCATAACCATAACTTTTAGACAACCACTGCAGTGTTCTACAAAATACGCTGCCAGACACAATTTTTAATCAGACTTGAATTTCACCTCACTCATCTGAACCCAATGGCAATCCACAATTTTAATGATGGGCTGTTCTTGTTGATTCCTACAGTTCCTTGATATTTTTAAGTCATTGTTTTCAGTAAAATAATCAGAGCAAAGTCTGATGACCTTAAGAATGACTTTCAGTAATATCAAAGATGTATAGCGGTGAAAAGTCATATAGTAACAAAGGATATCTATGAATTACTCACTAACTTCTAATATCCTTATGAATGACCTCGTCTCAATAGAAAAATATCGTTACGCTTAATAGGAACGTTTAATTCGTCAACTCAGTGGTTAGTGGCATGCACAGATTTAATTAATACTCCGTGTTTTAGGAAAAATGAAATGAAATATGTGGTCTTCCATTTCGTCTAGTATATCATTAACTACTCCGTTCCATAGTATATCGGTAAAATATGTCCTCGAAAGAGATCATCCTTGTATAAATAGCAGTTTACTGACTGACAGCTAGCTAGTCACTCTTCCTTTCTAATTCATTTCACACTCACACGATAAAATTTATGGTCAAAGTAATGTTAAATTATGCATGGAAATTTAAAAAGTATTTTCACTTTTCAACTAATGCTTTTATTTACCTTATTCGAATCAGATGGATCACATTCAATCGCCGTTACACGACAATGACGTCCTTTCGTAGTTCCAGACTTGATTGTTATAAAAGTGATATACGACAGCTGTGTAATTTAAAAGAAATAAGGGTTGATTTATACATATGTATAAAATGTAAGGGTAAAGAGAAGTAACACCGTCAGACTTCATAGAAGTCATGGTACGGTTACTTATTTAAGGCAGTCGATAAAAAAAGATGTGGGTCACACCAAAATACAGAAACACGTAGACTAGTCAAAATTAATGAAGGAAATGGAAAGAAAGATATGGAGGAAATCGCTTTTCATAGTAGTTTTTCTGTGTTAAGGATGCATGCAGTAGATGAAGAAAGCCGAAACAGGTGTAAAGGAATAGTGTACATCAAAATCAAGTGAGTTAGTATAGATACTTACCTAAGAAAATGAGTCATAAAAAAACAAACCCATTAGCTGTGAATGCGTTATATATATATATATATATATATATATATATATATATATATATATATATATATATATATATATATAATCTAAGCACTACATATGACTGTATGCAAGAAGTATCAGTCATTCTTGAATGAACAGAGAATAAAACAACCTACTATTAGCAACTAGGTAGTGGTCTGATTAAAATAGTGGGAACTAGTAGTGGTTTCATGGTTGAAAACCCCGTCAACAGTGATATCTTCACTGTAGAACAGCTATAAAGTATCGAAAAAACCTATCCAGTATAGGTTGTTGTACTAGGCTACAAGCCACATTTATGATACATTCGGGTTGGGCAGGTCGGAACAGTTGGTATGGAACTTGAACGGAAGACCGATGAGTTGAAAGTAGAGTGCTACTATCAGTCAGACTGTTGGTGCATACGTGACTGCCTACTGAATCGATAATCTGGATTCCTATTAAATTTACACATACAGTTAGTTAACCAACCATTCAGTCTTTCAATATTTACTCCATCAGGCTTTAGGGATAGTCCTCAATCCAATCATCACGAGTCACAGTATTCAATTCTGCAACTTTGTCTACTGCGTAGTCAATTAGAAATTAGCAGACTACGCATAATTGTACAACGGAGTTAATGACATTACTAATGAAAGTAAAAATCAAACTATGCATTCGTGTGCAACAGTAAATCATAAAATGAAAATGCACATCAACGCAGAACTGACTAACCTCACTATTGAAAAATAACACACGTCCATCGTATGTGCCAACAATAACTTTAGTGCCTTCACAAGCAAATGCTGCACAAGTAATTACCGTTTTTGGTCCTACAACACCTTTTGACAAACTCATCACAGATGTTGAATACTGTGAACCACTGTATGGAATAGAACGTGTGAATAGACTTGTTACGGTATTCGAAGAGGATGATGATGATGAAGATAAGGCCGTTGTGGAAACCGGTAGAGCACTGGGTACGGGGACTTCAACCCAAAAACGAACTTTTTTATCAGGAATATTCCATAGTCGGAGCTTTCCATCCAAACTTCCAGAAAGGAAATAACGATCGTCCTAGAATTGGGAAATATAGAATCAAATATATGATATGAATGTCAACACCACAAGTTCGGGCGCTATACAATTTCAAAAGAAAATATGATAAAAAAGCCGTACAACAATAAAATAGATCTGCTCTACTGTAGTTACTTTCAGAATTTTAGCGATAACCATATCTCAACGAAGTCGAAAAAAATGGGAATGCACTCAATAATCATGTGCACGTTCATGCAGTAGACAGTGAGCCACACCTATTGTGTGCGGGTTATTGATACTGCGTTGCTGCCCGAACGCAGATAGGTGGAGCAAGATTTTGACCTGTGACCCACTAGTTGAATGTCAGCTGTTTAAACCAGTGAAAAACAACAACTCTCAATGAAGTACGTGTGAATCATCTAAAAAAGACCATCTAGCTAACCAATAAAAATGAAAAAAAAACTATGAAATCTCAGAAAATAAAACACTGGTCAATCAAATTCTAAAATACCCTTAAAACTTCTCATCCAGCTGAACTGAACTTAATAAAAGTAATTTCTCATTGATGCATACTAGTTTAAAACAAAGTTTTTTTGTTTCCAAGTAAATCTTATACACTGGGAACTATAGTTTCAGCTACTATAATCTTTCTGCATGTTTTAGATTTCAGGATTGGATTTCCTTCTCTATTTCTTTAATGAGTAAGGGAACTTAATCCATTTTATTTATGCCAGGTCCTATGACTGACCAATAAACATAGCTGCGTCAATCAAATAGCGAACTAGTGAAATCATAAAATAATACCAATAAATTCAAAATATATTTATGTCAAGTCAGTATCCGTCAATTCGATATGGTCACATGAAACGAGATTTGACAAACTGTGAGTGAAATGAAGATCAAAAGAATTGAGATATTACTACTCTGTTATGTAGCTGATGACAATTTTCGATAAGATGACGATAATGAATACAAAATAAACAAATAAACTTATGACACAGAGTTGAACTAGTTGCGTTATTGTTAAAAAAGTACAACTCACAACTAAACCACTTTGGCCTAATTACTGCAAGCTGCTGATAGGTGTCAACTGTCATTAATTATTTTTACAAATAGTTCATAATACTTCTGTATTAAAGTACAGACCAAGAGAAATGTCATTTCTGGTGAAGTAAAATGAATAGAAACTACATAAATTTTAAAGTTACATTCTAACTCAGTCTATAAAATTTGCAAATTGTTCTTTGCATTAAGTTTGCTCAATTTATCCAACCTTCACTCTGTTTCACTTTACACATTACGTTTCATAATGTGACCATGTCTAAACTAATAGTGTTAATCATTTTCTTGAAAGATTTTTATCCAATAAGCGAAAAATTGTACAAATAAACATAATTAAATAAATTGTCGTCTACAACATTTTTGATTGGCAAGTATTTTTCTAGTGATTGGGAAATGGAAAGGAAGTCGACATGCAATCAAACTTGACAAGGAAAGAAACAACCAATCGAATTACTGCCACAGTAACGCTATTAATTATACAACACCCGATGAACGGAAGTAACTAAAAGTAAATTGTAAGCGTCTATTTCGAGGCTTCTCGGCACTTTTCATTTACGGAACGATGTAGTTGTACCAGATCATTGCAATAATAAGCTTCAAATGTCAACTAGGTGGGGGCTCATCCAGTAAGAGCAGTAACACAACAGAAGTCATGTCAATCGCTACAGTTCTAATTTCTAGAGAGAAATAATTCAAGTTAACCTGAATATTAACGATAACTGTCACCTTAAACACTATGCACTATTAAAACCAGTGAAAATCAGCAAAGACAAATATTAATGTTCCACAATTCTATTCAACTTTTCCCCATGTAACTGGGGGATAAGAAGTTGCTGAGCTGTCTCATTTATTAGGCAGAGAAAACTTAAAAACTACCACTGTGAGAACTAATATGTCTATAGAAGACAAAAGCGGGACAGAACATAGTATAGTAACCAGATTAAGGTCTACGAACCGGGATTTGACCCTAATATTCAACGTCTGGATAGTCTGAAGCTTAGAAGAAAAAAAACTACAACCTGCACGACAAATATATGTCGTATGTAAGCAAAAACATAGTTTACCTTTGGATGAAATACAATTGTCGGCACTGTATCATTATGACTAAACACGCATAGGCATTCACGTCGACTAATATGCCAAAGACGAACTTGATGATCCATACTAGTTGCTAAGAGGAATAAATTTTTCGACCATGCTAATTCTGTGACCACACCTTCATGTCCTCTTAATACTAATAATGGTTTAGAACGAAATACAGTTTTACGTTCTCGTTGTGAATCAGAAACAACAGATAGTGTTGTTGTCATCACTGGTGTTGCCAACTGATGTTGGAATCTATTATTTTTAGTACTACCAGTAGATAACAGTGGTGAAGGAAGATCGTCAGTCCCACCGAGAAGAGCAGAACATCCTGGTGCAGAACTGCTACTAGATGCTCCATCCTGTAAAGTGAAAAAAAGGGAAAAATTGAAAAAATAACAGTAATGCATGAATGTCAATCTATTATAATGAAATTAGTAGCTCATTATATTCAGCGTTATCAGAATGAAAATTGATTGGTTGAAGTAGCCAGGTCCCTGATCAATTTCACTGTATGATAAAACAATAAAATGGAAGGCCTACCACTGCTTCATAATTTTCAGAAAACAACTTTGAACTGTTTCAGTCAGGCAATTAATTATTAAGTATGGATAAGGACTTCATATATCCCTTCAAACTCCTGTTTGAGTGAACTAGGGTAACATCATCAATATGACACAAAAGCTGTAACTCAGAAAATGTATATGGTAGAAATAATCTTACCAATATTTGAACTAAGGAATCTAGTCAAATCAGAAATGCTGAGCACAAAAACGTTGAAGCTAAAATGGTCAATGACACTAGTGTCAGACAATTCTTGTATCAAGTGCTAATAATAATAACTCGTCACACATTGTGTCAAAAAAATGGGTTTATTAAATTGCAAACATCTACGTTGAATATTTAGTTTTTAGCACTTCAAAAATTGATTTAAATTCATCTTAAAAATCACTTGCAAAACTAGTCTAAAATCGCTAATACTATGAATTTAACTTAATTTACGTTGAAAAGCATACAAATCTCTAGGAAAGTATAAAATGAATAAATACAGCGAAAATTATTATACGGTTTCACTTACAGCTTCACTGAAATCAGTTTTCCCGGAGGTTGACACTGATGTTGATGCTAAGCTTAAGGTATCCAGTCGATTCTCGTCATCCATCATCACGTTGGATACCGCATTATTATTCGGAATATTCAAGCTACTCGTCATAAATGTATTAGCTGAACCGTACTTTGTATTACTAGGTGGTGGGGCTAAGACAATGAAAGTAAGGTAAATATATTATTAGTGAGGAAAATAATTGCAATACTACTTTACAGTGAAGTAGCGTGAGAAGTAACAACTAAAAAAGCTGTCTGTGAAATCTTAGTAATTCATGAGACACAGCTTCTGATCAAGTCTTAACTTCACCTCAATCACTTAAGGTTTCCCCAGTTGTTATGCAACTGTATGATGTTCATCTCTTTGTTCATTATAATCACATCATTTGTATAATCACTCAATTCATATCAAATTGAATTATAGCGTAGAAGCCTTCTTCTACTGTTGATTGGACTACCTAAAATAGGTACAGTTTCCTTCCACAGTACAAATTGATGCATAAGTTATGCAGGCGCTTACACAAATAACATTATCAGCATAAGAATAGACATAGCTGTTTGTCTTTATAGTTGACAGCAAAACAAGAGGGATACAATTCACGGTTTACAATGATCTCATTGCACTTATTCATTCCATTATCTTCAATTAAATATACAAGATAAAAGCATGTATTGGATACGGGATACAATTAGGAGACTAAACGTGCACTGAAAACAATCAATAAACAATACACTTCTATTCTATTTAGCAGAGGTCACAACACTCAGAATGCTAAAAGGTTTGCATTGTATGTATAAAAAGGTAGTTATTATGGTATGGTATTTCACATGCCCATGTGAAGCTGGTCATATAGGCTGCAAAAAGTGCTCCTTCCAAACCCATCTTCGAACACTATCTTGCATATCTGTCTACATGAGAGTGCAAAGTGATTAACAGCTTGATTCTTGAGCATTTGGTTAACTCTGATCACTCAGCTTCACCAGGGTTTTCCTTCAAATTCATTTATAAAGTCAAATTGAACATTTCAAAGAAAGTGCAGATTCGCCATCTGAAAACAATAGAAGTCTTGGTAATTCATCCTTTCAAGCCTGATCTCTATGTTTAATTTTCAACTTTACCTTGGTTATGATCTCCTTAAGGCATTTTATTTATTAATTTGATTATTTATTTATTACTTAATTATTTTGAGGTTAATGAGAATTTATTTCTAAGGTACTATTCATCACGAACTGACACCAGTTGGAAAACCGCTGAAAACCTGGGAGCATTGGACAGCTTTCTATTCCTAGTATGGGATTCCCCAGCATATCTACCCCCGATCTCACTACGGATGGAACACTCAGGACCTTCAGGTTTCACGGTGAACATGTTAACCATTCAGCCACTTGGGTTGGAGTTCAATGCTTCACAGTTTCCAACTTTTGTCAATTCGCTATATAGTTTCAGGTTTATGAAAATTTCACTTAACACTGTTGAAGAGTCCTATACTAGAACAAAACGGCCATCTAGTGTTCTCAGGTTTTCAATGATTATTTCAATCATGTCAGTTCGTGATGAATACCGCCTTAAAATAAAAAAAATGTCTATAAACCTCAAACTAAATTATGTATTCTAATCCTATAAAAAATCTTTTAGGGCCTTGTCCTGATGTTCAGTCCCCTTGTCATCCTATTGAGAATTTTTGATGACCTTTTATTGATCCATTAGCTATTGATGGACATAAATTTTTTATTGTAAGTTTGAATGTACAGCTTCTAAAAACGATTCATCAAAAAGGAAATTTTCTTCGATGAAAGACCTTTTGTCTAGAGATGATTTAGGAACAAAAAGAGATGGATGTCTGAGGCATTATAAATAGAGGTACAAGAAAAAGGAAGTCAATATTCTAATATATTGGTCCTTATATGCATAGAAATATGTCATGTATTTTAGCCAGTTGTTAAATGCAACAACAATACACATAAACAAGGTAACGTTTCGCATTCACTAACACCTGCTTATACACGTACACACATACATATTCTCGTTTGACTATCTGCCGTAGTTTCACAGACTAGTATTTATACTGGGTGAGGATTGAAGGTTAGATGTAAATCTGGACCCACTATGTTTCACATAAGTCTGCCAAACAACGTCTATTTCAGATATTCCAAACTGATAAACAGCTAGTGATGATATATACAGAAAGCATCAAGTTTAAATTCAATGTAATGTTATTATCCAACTGGTTTCCACTGGAGTGCTTTTATTTGCTAGGAATACTTAAGCATCAGTCTAGACATAACTTTCAGTCCAATGTAAGCAAGAAATGATATTAGTGTTTCTTCATAAATAGGTTTTTTGATAACAGTCTCATGATCGTACATGGTGGTCTTGAGCGACAGGAGTAATGGTTATCAGCCAGTTTCACAAATACTTGATTTATTCAACTGCTTCACATTCTTTCAACTGATCTCTTAGATGAATTATCTTCATATTCTTTGTGATCCAGTATTTCCGAACAAATAAGAACTCTACTGAATAGTCTATTAAAAAGGCCATATTCCGCAAATCATTACAGTGTTTCTTTGTTCCATACAATAATGGAGAGTCTGTCAAGGACTGCAGTTACAAACTAGTTGAGTATTGTGTTCTCCAATATGAACACCTAATATTAGATATAACTGACTGCCAAAATCAATGTAGAACCTGGAGCACAAGTGGATCAGATAGAGTGGCCACACTTCACAGTGTCACACAAAGAACAGGTGGACAGAAAAAGAGTGATATCAAAGGAGACGAAGTTGTGTGAGAGAATAAACAGCCTGAAGATAATGGTCAGTGAAAATATTCAAGCTTTAGAAGATATCAAGGAGTGAACACATCTGCGCCATCGTGACCGATTTCCAGACATTTCAACAAGAGTCCTCAACCATTGATTCCTTTCGTCTCGGGGCCCCCAACCAGGTAATCAACATCGCCTCACATGACTCAGACCAAGAGTAAGAGACTTCATCGACTGGTGCTAGGCCTTTGTCTGACCACCTTGAACTCTCTTCCAACGTAGTCCAACTTCCCCAAGAATGGCAAGCCGACTGATAGCTGCTACCTCAGACCTGCATATCACAATGATCCAACGAGCTATGCTGGTGGAACGCTTGTTCCCTCTAGGTTCTACCATGCCAGAAAGGTCTTTTGGGCAGTGGTAAGACGAAAAGAGGTTGCCGTTGTAGCATAAATTATTACACTATGATGGGGGTTTTGACATCAAAGTTTCACTGATGGTGGCTGGATGGGGTAAGAGAGCAGTAAGGTGTTTCCCGTGGATGACCAGCAGTGCAACGCTGATGCTGCCTTCCCAACGCGAAGAGGGTGTTAGAAAAGATTGGCCACGAAAATAACACCCCCACCTCTATGTGGCATGCCGATGTTAGCAACTAGGGTTCATAGTAGGATTTAAGAGCAAAAACCAAAATATTGGGTATAAGAAGTTAAGCGGTATAAAAAAGAACAATAAGGATTTGTATGGAAATATAAGGATTCAGATTGAATATATATATATATATATATATATATATATATATATATATATATATATATATATATATATATATAACCTCGCCTGGTTAACTAGTTTACTAGTTACTAGCCGGTCCTAAGCCCGGGTAAAGAGGGAAGGTTGGGCATAGGGCTAGCAACCCTACCCCGTAAAACAAATCTAACCGCTAAAGAAACTTCAAAGCACAAACAAAATATAAAAAATGAAAACAAACTTATTCCCCGCTGGAATCGGAGAGGCGAAATGACGCCAGTTGGTGAAAGCCTTCGGGAAGCCAATTGGCCGATGTGTCTTCTCTCGATGAAAGCGAAAGTAAACGTGGGGACATGGAATGTCCGCACGATGTTTGAACCCAGTAAGGCAGCCCAGATTGCAAAGGAGATGAGAAGGTATAACATCGAAGTGCTTGGGATTTGCGAAAGCAGATGGAATGGGAGTGGACTCTCCAAACTGTCAACGGGAGAATCAATAATCTACTCCGGTCACCCAGACGCCAACCACGAGCACACTGAGGGAGTGGCTATCATGATGTCCTCAAGAGCATCGAAGGCTCTCATGCAGTGGGAACCAATCTCCTCCAGGATCATGACAGCAAGATTCAACTCAAAAGGAAGAAAGGTCACAATCATACAATGTTATGCACCTACAAATAATGCAGAGCAAGAGAAAAAGGAGGAATTCTACAGACAACTTCAGTCAACACTGGACAAGACGTCAGTTGGCGATATCAAAATTCTAATGGGCGACATGAATGCCAAACTGGGAGGGGACAACACGGGAAGAGAACTAACCATGGGTCGAGAGGCGCTAGGTGAAATGAATGAGAATGGAGAATTGTTTGCAGAATTCTGTGCATTCAACGATTTGGTGATTGGAGGCAGTGTGTTCAGGCACAAGGATATCCACAAAGCGACATGGATTTCACCAGATGGACACACTAAAAACCAAATCGACTTTATCTCAATCTCAAGAAAATGGAGACGCAGTCTACTTAACACAAGGTCAAGAAGAGGAGCAGATGTAGGTTCAGACCACTATCTAGTGCAAGGAACCTTCCAAATCAAGTTAAAAGCCTTCAAGGAAGCTGGTGATAGACCTCAATTCAAGTACAACACTCGGAAACTGAAGGATGAAACTACAAAGGAGATCTTCAAAGCAGCCATCAAGACAAAATGGGAGACATCGAGGGACATCCCTGAAGAAACCTGTGTGGAAGAACACTGGAAGTCTTTGAAAGCTATGTGGAAAGAAACCTGCACAACAGTATTAGGAAGGAAGAAGAAAGAAGACAAGGAATGGATCTCGACGGATACCTGGAAGCTGATAGAGGAGAGGAGGATGGTGAAGCAGAAGATAAACCAGTGCAAGGATGCTCAACGACAAGAGGAACTGAGCACAATGTATAAAACACTGGACAAAGAAGTGAAGAAGAGTGCACGCAAAGACAAACGACACTTCTACGACACACTGGCAAGTGAAGCAGAACAGGCTGCAGGTAAGAGAGACCTGACGACATTGTATCAAATAACCAGGTTGCTATCAGGGAAGAGACCAACACAGATGAAACCAATAAAAGATGAAGAAGGAAATTTAATTACAAAAGAAGAGAAACAGAGGAAACGATGGGCCGACCACTTCAAGAAGCTCTTGAATCGACCACCACCTGCACTTCGTCCAGAAATACCACCTGCAGCCGCTGAATTACAAGTGAACATAAATCCCCCAACGAAAATGGAAGTCCTGAACGCCATAAAGCTACTGAAATGCGGGAAAGCAGCAGGACCAGATGGAATACCGCCAGAAGCACTGAGAACAGATGCAGAGACAACAGCGGACATGCTCACACCACTATTGCAGAAGGTGTGGAGGGAAGAGAAGGTACCTGACGATTGGAAGAAGGGTTACCTTGTCAAACTGCCGAAGAAGGGAGACCTCAGTGCTTGCAAGAACTGGCGAGGAATCACTCTCCTATCCACCCCAAGTAAAATATTAAGCCGCATCATCCTGGAGAGGCTTAAAGACGCACTGGATTCAAAACTGCGACCGGAACAGGCAGGCTTCAGGAAGTACAAATCATGTGCTGACCAAATTGCAACGCTTCGTATCATCATAGAACAGAGCGTAGAATGGCAATCAGCTCTCTACCTCAACTTCATCGACTTTGAGAAGGCCTTTGACAGCGTCGACCGAGAAGTAATTTGGAAACTGCTTCAATACTACGGAGTACCGCAAACCTTTATCCGCCTCATTCAACAACTATATGAAGATGCCACATGCCAAGTAATCCACAATGGGAAGCTCAGTGATGCCTTTGAAGTGAAGACAGGAGTGAAACAAGGTTGCCTACTATCCCCCATGATATTCCTTATTGTGGTGGACTGGATCATGCAGCAAACAGTAGGCAGCGAGAAGAGGGGGATACACTGGACGACGGAAAAGAACCTAGAAGACTTGGATTTCGCCGATGACTTATGCCTAATGTCACATAAACTTGAAGATCTGCAGGCAAAAACTAACAAGTTGACAGAAGAGGCAGCTAAGACGGGACTTCAGGTGAATATAGAGAAGACAGAAGTGATGAAGATACCGCACCACCACCATCAACAACAACAACAAAACTCCAATCACCGTCAACGGGAGAAACTTGAAGGAAGTAACCTCCTTCACTTATCTAGGAAGCACTGTTTCAACTACAGGCGGGACGGACGAGGACGTCAAAGTCAGAATCGGAAAAGCAAGACAGGCGTTCATTAGCCTGAAACCAGTGTGGAGATCTTCTGCACTCAGCATGCGGAACAAGATACGGATTTTCAACACCAACGTCAAGTCAGTGCTCTTGTATGGCTCAGAGACTTGGCGCGTCACGAAAGGCATTTCCAATAAACTACAGACATTCATCAACAACTGCTTACGCTCGCTGCTGAAGATCAGATGGCCAGAAAAAATAAGCAACAAGGAACTCTGGGAACGAACCAACCAAGAACCTATCACGCAACAAATATGCAGGAAGAAGTGGAGATGGATTGGGCATACACTGAGAAGGCCGACTGAGGACATCACGCGTCAGGCCCTCGAGTGGAATCCCCATGGGAAGCGACGAGTTGGACGTCCGAGGGTGACATGGAGGAGGTCGTGCGAGGAGGAAATGAGAGCTTCTGGGCTGTCGTGGAACCAGGTTCAAAAGATCTCAGAGAACAGAGGTCACTGGAGGCGTGCTACTGAAGCCCTATGTTCCACTAGGAACCCAAGGGACTAATAATAATAATAATAATAATAATAATATATATATATATATATATATATATATATTGATTTTGCAATACGCCTTCTGTTGTCTTAACACCTTTTTTATTTCCCAAGGGATTGCGCAACCATCGATGGTGGGTTCTGAAGGTTAGTGTTCAAGTGTCTACAAGTATGTAATCGTGCTATATCAGTAACCATGAAGATGATGATGCGACTCAAAATCTGTAATTCAATTTGAAATGGTGTATTTATATCTCAGGTTGGTATTCATCATGAACTAACATCAGCTGGAGAAACACTGAAAAACATGGGAGCACTGAACATCTGTTTCGTCCTGGTGCCAGACTTCTCAGCAGTGCGCACTCATGATCCAGCCAGGGATCGAAACCAAGACTTTCAAGTTCCGCGGTCAGCAAGTTAACATTGAGCCGTCGAACCATTGTATTCCAACCCAGTGGCACAGTGACGACGTGCTGACCGGGGAGCTCAAAAGTCCTGCGTTTGATCCCTAGTGGGGTTATGGGTACGCACTGTTGAGGAGTTTAATACTAGAACGGAACAACTGCCCAGAACTCGAAGAGTTCCAATGTTTCTCCAACTGATGTCAGTCCATGATGAATATCAACATGAAATCAATAAATAAATCCCACACAAACCTTAAAACTGAATTTATATCTAACAGTTTTAAAACCATTCAAGAATAAAAAGACAATACCAATGACAAAATGAGAGAATTACTCACTAGAATTTCTTTGCATTCCTTTGAAATATCGATAGCACTGACGTAGGACCCATATTCGAATATTTCGATCATATCCAGCGGTGGCCTAGTAGTGTAACAAGTATAAAATTAACAATTTCATAGAAGAGTAACACAGAAGAGGTAATGATATTAAGATGAGCTTTAGAATGAGATAAACACCTTAGACGGTGGAAAAAATAAAACATTATTGTTTTTAATGCATGAAGTCCCATAAGTTTCTTTGAAGTACTATAAAAATGTAAACATAATTATCAATAAACTGTAGTTTCGACTGAAATAAGTCGATGATAATAGCGTTCATTGCTCATAAACATAACTTTCTATGAATCAGGTAACCGAGTTACAACCAATTTGCAATACAAATTACAATGGAAGAAGAATAAAACAGAAATATTGAGTTAATAATCATAATAATAATAGTAATAATAATAATAGAGTTAACGATAATAGTACAAATAACAACCATATTTGTACTAACACCTATTGATTAATTAAGAGAGAGAGAAGAGAAAGAGGAGGAGGAGAGAGTACCAGACGTTTTCTAACTGCGGTATCTCTATGAAGAATACGAGATACCAGATGGTGTAAACAGGTGACATTTTTATGAATGAAATTTATCAAGATTCCTGTAAAGATTTTCTTTGTCAGTACTGATGATGAACAAACTTTGAAACCTTATAGCTTCTATGTACCTATGAATTTATTAACTAGAACCTCGGAAAATCACATCGATTAAACTCCGTCAGTTCATTATCAACTATTTGTTAGTATATACTATCTCCATTCCCTGGATTCATCAAGAAACTGTAAATTCATGAAAACATTCAGATTCAATCACATTATTCATATTTTCCCATTTAATTTATTAAGATGAAAAACTCAATAATAATAATATTTTGAAAGCTCCTGAGAAGTTATCCTCTGTAGATATATAAATGGCTCAATATTTTGTACATTGAGTCTTTTAATAAACTTTTTGTCGTTTTACAGCCTTTATTCTTTCTGATGAGTCGAAACACAAGTGAAGTGGAGTTTTAAGAGTTATCATCTTCAAGTATTCACGACATGTATCAATATTTATTTTTCAAAGTAGAGTTACAGAAAAAAAAATCTATAAAACCTATGAAATCAATAACTTTTTAGTCAGGATCCGACACTCATCGGTTACATACAGGTTATTATGGAACTTATTTAGTTCTGTATGTCTTCGACTGCTCAATAATAGCAACAATATCGAATATTTCTATCCCACTAATCTACAAACTAGAACAATAAATGAAGGGTTCGATTTGATGAATTTCAAATCCTAATATGACCGATTATGTGCTAACTAATTTCTTATCATATGCGACTTGCATAAAATCCACTATATATATTATGAATCAGGGACCAATTATACAGTCGTTCAACTGCAATTCATCTCATGTTCTACGAACAAACAGAATATAAGTAAGAAAAAAATAATTATGCTCAATCCTACTGTCAATTTAAACTTAAGTGCATTATTTCCACTAACGAACCTAGATAAAGCATTTATGAAGAGCCTATATATACATATACTACCATTTCTGGTTCCATTGGTGGTTTGAGGAAGTTTCCATCACAAAATAACATCATATGGAGAAACAATGGAAAACTAATTCGTTCCAGCACAGGACTCTTCAACCGTGTACATCCATGAACCCAGAACCGTCAGCTCTAGCAACCAGTAAGCTACTGTTTAGCAAGTGGGATGGAATCCGATGGTTCATATTACCACGCCTCTGTCAACTCGCGATATAACATGGGCGTCATTCAACGCTATTGGCGAATATTTTACCTTACAACCAATATAGTGGACCCTGCAGGTCGCAGCTACACATTAAAAATTCATGAAACCTATCAGTTTCTGTGGAATTCTGACTGATTGCTTAAGGCAGCCAACACTCAAATAGTAAGTGACAGGCTCAAAAAAATTCCTTACACTGAAGTTTGGACAGTCGGATAGTGCTATTACTATACTTCAGACTACAAGTCACCTACAGTTTAGTCTATTATTAATAGTTATCGCAGAAAAAAGGCTCCAGCAAAGGATTAAGCAGCAAAAGAAACATAATCAAGAATAATATCACTATGGAAATCCATGATATATGTACAAGCACAACCACTTCTTTTTCCATATGTCTTTCTCTCTCTCTTTCCCCCTAAAAAGTAGTAGTCACCAGTAACAAAAGTTTGAGTGACTTCGACATCCAAATACGAAGCAGTTATTATTCAAAGTCATATTCTGATAAGGCAATTAAAGCTTGAAACACTGAAAAAAAACTAAAATTATTAAACTTTACTATTGGTTACATCTCACACATACTGTACAGAACTTCAATATCCTGAGGCTAATTAACAAATAAATTTCAATTTTTATGATATGTAAAGAAAAGTACCAAACATCCAAGAGAGGAGAATTATCAAACCCAGTTAGAAATTTCGAATAACAAAGTTATCGTTTCTCTTTCTTAAGCGACACCTTCGAAAAACAGTGTTTTTAATCATATTGGTCTTCACTGCCTGACTAATATATATATATATATATATATATATATATATATATATATATATATATGACTTCAAATAGTCATCGGATGTAAAGGAACTGAATAAAAAAATGTTCCTTTGCTGTTTTTACGCTTGCATGGGCTCTTTGAGGTTACCATCTCCGCTTAGATAGTAAAACTAGATAAACGTAACTTTGGGGCTAGCAGCAACACATTCAGACTTGCTTTTGGTTGTGTCAAGCGTCAGTAATTCCTTTGCCCAGTGCATGGCACCTAGTTTAATGACTAGCATGGAACAAGTAAATCGATGTAACGAAGAACCAAATGTGAGATTGATCCAGTAGATCAAAATAGGGAAAATCGATTAAACTGAACACGATGTACGAAATTGGAACAGCTTATGGATTCGGAAAAAGACAAACTTACTAAGAGCCTACCACAAGGTGAAAAACGCATAGCCCATATAGCACCCTAAAAGAAAAATTAGACGGAATACAAATTTACCGCATACAGTGGAGTAGTATCAGTTTAAATGAATGTAACGTATGAAAACTGATGAGTAACTGAGATATAAGTTGAATCAAAAATCGACAGAACAAGTTAAAGAAACAAAGTTAATAGTCGTTCTTTACGGAAAACGTAAAAGATAAATGATGATATACACATTAATGCAATGAAGGCTATACTCATATAAAGCGTCATGTAGTAAACTTCTTCTGCGATCTAAAGCACTATCTCAAGGCTATGCAAAATGTGGAGGTTGGAGTTGACAAAGAATGATTCAGCGATTAGGGTTCGAGCATCCAGACAACTAAACTATCTTCTATTTTTCACAATAGGTGTGATTCCATACACCCTTTGTCGCATAAAATTAAGAATGAGTATCGTTGGCACATGCATATTGTTATTTTTGATCTTGGCACTGAACGCGTACAATATACATAAAATGTGAATATTAATTTTAATGAATGCAACAAGTTAATTATATATATCCGGGCAGAAAAGGTCTACCTATAAATGATGATCAGACTTGCATACCATAATAATCCGACGGGTTATGCCAGTGGGATGCTTGTTCTCTTGAGGCCCCATCATACCAGAAAGGTCTGTTGGATAAAAGTCAAACGGAAAGCAGTTGCCAAAACAGTAAAAACTGTTACTCCATCAAGAGTGTTTGAGGGCGAAATTTGTAGTGCTTGCTGGATGGGGTGTGGTAGCAGTATGATGTTTTTCGCGGATGATTAACAGTACTATGCTGATGCTTCCTTCCCAATGGGAAATTGGAGTTGGAAAAGTTTGTCCCCGAAACCTACCCCTGCCCAGCGGTCTTCCGATCCCAGCAGTATGGACTTTTCCTATCTGGCGTTAGGAAAACTAAATCTCAGACCACCAATCGTCAAAAAACTTTGTGCGGCAGACCCCAAACAGATGCCTCTTGGACTCTGCAGTCGAGCAAAACTAATCCCTCCTCTCATTTAGGTACCCTGAGGGAACAACTTCTGCGGTGTTGGTAGCGGAGAAGTGTCAACCGCCTGCACGCCTCCAGTAGTACGCAAACTCCAATCAAACCTAACCTATCCACCTCAACTCTGTCTCCTACCTTCCCTTCACCTTCTGATACCAATATTAAGCCTCTTACAACGTCCTCAACCTCTTATCCTGAGAGCACTGCCAACGATCCAAGTCAGTGAAATACCATTCTCAATCACTTGAAACCCTGCTGTCAACTACACATTGGATTTTCCGACGTCCAAACCATATGCTTAATCAGACGGCAGGTAACTCTCACAAGAAATCTGAAATCTCGAGCCGGGATGTATGCTGTGTCTTTGAGACACATACAGGACCCAAGTGTAGTCATCAAATTGACTTCACCTGACCAGAGTGGTGAATCTTTAGAATTCACTATCCGAAGGGTCGGGAGATTCAGTGGCGAGATCTTGTCAACCATTCGGTGTAGGCATTCGGCTGTAGAGGGGAACGACTGGACACCAGTCAATAGCCTACTCTGTAGTGCTCGTCTCGACGCATCTGCAAAAACCAAGAAAGACGGTGAGACTAACCAACCCACTGCAGTTCGGATGATGCAAAAGATGAAATTTTTATTAAAGCCCTCAACTATGTGGGCATGTTAAAGATAACCGCGAAGAGATTAGTCGTTAATGAAACCATTATCGAAAAGGATCGAATGTTGATAACCTCTCAGGATAGGTCGCTAAGACGTTGGAGAGAACACTTTGAAGTATGGTTCAACTGACCCACAGCAACGCTTCAGTTGCCCAACACTCAGCCCAAACTGGATTGGGACACAGACATCAGTCCCATGACTAGCCTCGAAGTTGAGAAGGCTGTTTTGAACTTGAAACGATGCAAAGATACAGGAACCGATAGTTTGTCACCCGAAGTCTTCAGGAATGGAAGCAGGAAATTACTGATTACAGTAACGGGATACCTAGGTGGGGGAAAAAGTCTTCTTGTAACAACCAGAGGGGAATCAATTTGACTGATATCCTACCCAAGATCCTTGGATCGATAACCACCCAACACCTAACTGAACCTTGAAAACAACAAATTCCAGGAAATCAGGCGGGTTTCAGACCGGAACGGGAGTCCGTCGATCAGATTTTCACCCCTCGTCGGTTTATGAGATACTGGCGCAACTTGTTACATTTCTCGACCTGAAGGCGACACTCGACTCTGTCGATCATTAGGTGTTGTAACAGTGTCTGATTGTGAAGGAAGTAACAAACAAATATATAACGCCAACCAAAGCTTTCTGCACGAACTCAAACAGCTGGATATGGGTTTATAAACAGTTGGCATCTGAATTGACAATAACTAGTGCTGTCCATCAGGGATGCTCACTGTCACCGTTCCCCTTTAATTTCGTTATAGATGTATTGATAAACATAACCTTAGGTACCACTGAATTCACACGGACTTGGAGTGTGCAGACGATACTGCCCAACTAGGTGAAGATGCTGATAAAATTCGCGGTCTTCTAAACGCGTTGAGCAGAAACCTAAGTATGTTTGCTGTGCCTCTAGCACCTGTCAAATATAAGATGATGCTTCAGGACTGGTCTGCAGGTAATTCTAATTCAAGAATAGAGAGTGACGTGGTGGAATTCGTCAATTGATCCACTAACTTGGGAGGCTGAGTCAGCCTGAAAAGGCTGATTGTTAACGAAATCTAAGCTCGGATAAAGAAACCCGGTTCAGAATTTACCAACCTGAATCATCTCTGGCACCAAGTGGCTAAATATTCGACTACCTATTAAAAGATGAGCAAATTGTACTTCAGCGTGTTCCGTGTTGCTATACGACTATGAGATATGGCTGTTAAAAGTGGGTGCTATGAGATTACAGGTTTCCAAGCGCAGGTTTCATTTAAGCATTGTCCACGTTTAGTGGAGTTACTTTGTGAGTAGTGCCGAGGTTCCGAACACTTGGAGAGTGAGGTGACTTAAACATATGTCGCGCATGCCAAGACACCAGCTACCTCGACGAGGAGTGTTAATCGAAGTGGGAATGGTTTAGAAGGCTCAGAATGTCACAGAAAGACGTGGCACCAGTATATAAAGTCTCTAGTTGTGGTTTTGAGCCGTATATGGAGGTATAGACTATGAGACGACAGGAATCAGTGGTTGAGGACTCTTGTTGAATTGTATGGAAACCAGTCACAAGGACACAGAAGTACTCACTCTTTGATATCTTCAAAAGCTTGAATGTTTTGACTAACCTTCATTTTTAAATTCCTTCTCCCATACCTTTTCCTACTGATATCAGTCTTTTCTGTCCACTTTTCTTTTGTATGTTGCTGTGAAGTGTGGTAAATTGAACTGATACAGTTGTGTGAGAGGTTCTACGTTGATTTTGTCAACCCGTCTGCAAGACGCGATAGCTAGTGACTAGGTGGGGATATTACATACCTTCGCCACGTGATTCCATGAAGGTTTACAACCCAATCAAATGATTTACCATTTCATCTCAAGCTCTACTCCTGACTTCTGTAGTACTGTTGTGCACTATGCTCAGCTCCTAACAGTCAATCACATTTCATTCCGCAACCATAGATGGCGTAAGTCAGAAAATTCAATCGAGCGATTTGAATCTACAAAGAGATTTCGTCTGTTGCTAAGCCATCATGGCCTATCTGACTTCTCATCTAATCCAACTGTTCAATCCGATTATCCACTTCATTTTCTCTCTTTACACGCGGGGTCGATGCAGACCAATCCTGCAGTAGGAATTTGCATGGGCAAGTAACGCACGCAAAACGTCCTCAAGTTGTTGCTTAAGATAGCGAGAAGACAATGCATATGATCCAACCAATACCTGTTATCTTGATGTGGTGATCACGTTTACATATCACAACGACCCAACGAGATACGCTGAATGGGACTACTGGTCCTTAAGATCCAACCATACCAGAAACGTTTACTAGAAAGCAGTAAAACTAATAGCAGTTACCACCATAAGTGTAAATAGATTACATTACACGGTAGGGATTCAACAGCAAAGTTATACTGCTGACAATGGATACAATATGAACACAGTAAAGAGTTTCTCAAGGATGACCAGTAGTCTATACTGATGCTGCCTTCCTCATGAGAGGTTAGAAAAGGTAAGTTCTTAAAAGGGAACACTCTCTCTTACGATGAGGTCATCCAGCACCAAATGTATAGATTTTGATAACTTAGATTTAACATGATCAAACTTAAATCTCAAACTTGTAGAAAGACCATGTGTGACCGATTTCGCGCAGATGTTCGTTTAGTTTAACGGTTACACAAAACTAATTCGGTCTCTCTTTCACATCCCTAAATAGGAATCAAACTTCCACGATATAGGCTATAGGGAAGCATCAGCCGTTTAAACGCCTATATCATCATCACTTAAAGAATTATTATAATGGATATATTGACCCTACAACAACTTATTTGTATTTCATTCGGCATCATCTGTTGATAAACACCTGATGATTCGTTTTTTCTAAAGTTAACACAAACACAAACGTAAAAGTGCAGACAAGCTGAGCAACCTTATTTTCTCAACAACCACGCATTTTGTATACTATTCGAAATACAACCAGTTATGAACTCAATATCTAATGTTGAAGCGAACGACCCCCAGTTCGAGTCCTAGTGTAAACAAGATTGCTCACTGAGAGGCAGGTACACCCCAGCCGCTAGCCACTATCTACCATTAGTATATGAACTCAATATCGTTTGAATTTATATCAATTTTTTTTTAACGAAAGAATGACTTTTGAGGGTGTTGTGGAGATTTGGAATTATTTCAAGTTGTTATTCATCGAAGACTGACATCAGTTGGAGGAACAAAGGGAACCTGGGAGCACTGGACAGCTGTTTCGTCCTAGTATGGGACTCCTCAGCAGTGCGCACCCACGACCCCACTAGCAGGGATCGAACTCGCGACCATCAGGTTCCGCGGCCAGTGCGTTACCATCGAGTCACTGGGTCAGAATCCAATGCTCCATATTTCCAACTTCTGTTAGCTCACGATATATAGCGCAACCGTCACCCAATGCCATCGCTGAGTATCTGTCCTCATGGCCATCAGGCTTTGACTCCACCGGTCACTACTTCTCATTGGAACTTCGGGAATACTTCTCGAAGCTAGTCACCAATGAGCACCAGTTCAATTAAATTTTGAGGGAGTTGTGGAGATTTGGAATTATTTCAAGTTGTTAATCATCGTAGACTGACATCAGTTGGAGGAACAAAGGAAACCTGGGAGCACTGGATTCTGACCCAGTGAATCAATGGTAACGCACTGGCCGCGGAACCTGAAGGTCGCGGGTTCGATCCCTGCTAGTGGGGTCGTGGGTGCGCACTGCTGAGGAGTCCCATACTAGGACGAAACAGCTGTCCAGTGCTCCCAGGTTTCCTTTGTTCCTCCAACTGATGTCAGTCTACGATGAATAACAACTTGAAAGAATGACTGTTTTAGAGGAAACATGATGTCTTAAACTAACTGCCATAACACTATAGAAGTGTTAAGGAAATCTCTTAAAATAACTATATCTTCAAAAGTACTCATGTTTTTCAGTTTCCTACCTCATGATAATCTCTGTGATGTATGTAGTTAATGCAGAAGTGAACACCGAACAATGATAAACCAATAACAGTATTTCCATCTATTCACATAGATTATATTTCAATTATACGAATGACTAAATCAGTTGATTGCTTATATCACATAATGTTAGACAAAAAGACAATAACTAAGAAAGATCATGACAAATAAATTGCATTAAAACTGAACCTACTGTGTGTTCATTTTTCATTTCTTGGACTAATTTGATTTGAAGGAATTCTCGTCTTCCTCTTGCCTGTCTAGACGATCGTAACTATTAAAAATAAAGAAAAAGATGAGTACACAGTGAAAGAAAAAACGAATATTTTATTGTGATTTCCTTAAGCTTTTCAACCTTATTACTAGTTAGTTCTCAAAAATGAGACATATTTCCTATAGAATACTATGCACAGTTATCACTAATAGTCATGATTTACAATTTCCCTTTAGACTAATTATGTAAGTGAGACTATAAGTTGATGAAGATAATGAAAATATGAAATCTTTGTGCATGACTTGTATTACACATTTGAAGTTAGTGTTTCCGGCAGCAATTTAAAATAATAAATTCAAAAACTTGGTGTTAAAAACTGTAAATACTATTCAGTGAATAATACTTTATTAGTGGATGCTATCTCAAATAAATTAGCTTTTCAAGTGAAACAGTCAATGGCGAAAAGAAGATAATTTTCGGTGCCCCAGTGATCAGGTAGTTAATACATGAACTTAAAAAGAAATACTTGCAGCTAAGTTAGTCTTAGTATACAAGATAAAATACTTCTAAAAAATCTATTCGCATTTATCTATCTACACGTAGCTCTAGAAACGAGTACAGATGAAGGACAGAAAGGAGGGAATATAAGATATTTTTACAACATGTTTTGAAAACGTTGTCTCAAATCAAGATGATATGTTATACAATTGGAAGGTATACAAGATGAAATGAAAGCCAACAAGTTTATAAATGATACTTTACAGTCAAAACAGAATTCATTTTGCTTTGCAGAAAGCGTTGCTCTCAGACGCTCACAAACATCATTAGTCTGAACTTGCCCCAATAACCGGGTTATCATATTTCTGGAATATGTGAGTTTTGTTTTTTAACCTCGTCATTCGTTTGTGTAATGCTTTAATCATAATTATCCAGTTTATTGGCATAGGGTTTGTATACAAAATCTTTTCCTTTTCTTACTACTTTGAGAACTTTGAAGGTAGTAGACGATGAGCTACACTTATATTATGTGACGGTTTGTGATACCACTTGGTTGTTTAAACCTCAGTAAGTGAAGAATGGTGTTCGTACAAGTGAATCATTGTTTAAAAGTCAACTGCCAAAGTCAAAGAGCCATTGATTCTGTTGTGATGTCCCAGTCTTGTACAAAACATTTTTATTGATCTGAACATTTTAACGTGTCATTCTCACGTTATTTTTCCAGTATGACTAATAGTCTATTTGTGCCCCCATTGTAATGTAATTCGCTGATTGGTTAACTTTTACTCTTACTATGCGAATTTCTCCAATTGCGGACAAGGTCATTTTTCATGTGTATACTTATTCAAGTGTTTTGGATTGATTCATGGTCATTATATTACATTCTCGGAGTAATACACTCTCCCATCTGCCAGCTTCGGTTTTCTCTTTATTCGTCCCGGGGTTGCAGCCAGTGTCTCTGGAGTACCAAGTTAGCTATCAGCTGAGCGCATGCATTATATTCGTTTCGTAATATATACATATACCATTAGCACCTCGAACCCATAACAGGTTCACTTTTACAATTTAATACTTAAGAGCTAACACATTTCTTGATTCTTTCCATATTCTCCTACTTGACTCGTGTATTGTGCAGTATAAACTCAGCATTCAACTTAAACACTTAAAGTAAGCCATCTTGTTACACTTAAAATTCAAAGTAATTGATATAAATCTAAGCTATGTGCAGCTGATACGAAGATGTGAAGTAACATGAGTTACTTTTATCTCACAATCGCTAATGTTCTTATTATATTCACAAAATTTAATAGTAAAGTGTGAATAATAAAGATTTTAATAGAATGGCTAGAAAGACAGATTCATATGGAGAGAGTAGAAATTAATTTCAATAACAATATATCCCGTCATTAAAAAACAAACATGTAGATTGTTATTCAACTAGTTTAACTCATTTTATAGTTAACTGCTACTACTGTTTTGGGAGACAACATAATTTCCCGAAAAATATGGATAAAACTAATAAACAATTAAATAATTATTAGAAGTAGTATTCATCATGGACTGACATCAGTTGGGGAACCATTGGAAATCTGGGAGCACTGGACAGCTGTTTCGTCCTAGTATGGGACTCTTCAGCAGCACGCACCCACGACCCGGCTAGGGGTCGAACTCAGGACCTTCAGGTTTCACGGTGAACGCGTTAACCATTCAGCCACTGGGTCTAGATTTCCAATGGTTCCCCGACTGATGTCAGTCCATGATGAATACTACTTCTAAATTAAAAATCCCCATTCATCTCAAAAATAATTATTAATCATGCTATGAAATTACCTACTGCATGTGAAAACTCAACATTGTTTCATTAAATTGGTAAGTTGAATAGTCTATTGGCAGAATGATTGTATCGAAATTTATAAACAAGCATACATTTCACGCTATATCATTAGTTGAAGTGCTAAATATGTGTATTTCATTTTCCTCTCTTTTGCTTTGTTTTGTTATTTTAGTATCTAGGCCAAGGAACTTGATCAGAAATAAAGCAATTTATCAGATCAATGTTTAACAGTTCGATTGTGAATCGTAATGTGTTAGCACGGTTCGGATTACCTCACATCAGTGTGAACCAGAAAAAGAAAACTAATGAAATAGACAGCTTGCTGTAGTACAAACAGATGAGCATGCACCACAGTTACACTTATGAAGATGAGAAAAGAAATGAAGACTTGGCTAGCACTAGAGATCTAAACATCAAGTTAGTGGAGCTGTGGGTCAGTGGTTTAGGAAGATGACTATCGACCAGTGGGTCACGAGTACGAACTCTGCTTCACATACCGAGGTTTGGGCAGCCAAGTAGTATCACTAGTCTTCACAAGATAGGTGACTGACTGCCTAGTGCATGGATGTGCATTCCGAGACATCAAGTTGGCAGTTCACTGTACTGACAACCTAGGAATTGATGGCATAAATAAGATCAGGCAAACAGGCAGACGAAATGAACATAGAACCTCGCTCACAACTGCATCGGTTCAACTTACCACATTTCACAGCAACATACAAAGGAAAAGTGGACAGAAAAGACTGATATCAAAGTAGGAAAAGGTGTATGGGAGAAGGAATTTATAAATGAAGGTTAGTCAAAACATTCAAGCTTTTGAAGATATCAAAGAATGAGTACTTCTGTGTCCTTGTGACCGATTTCCAGACAATTCAACAAGAGTCCTCAACCACTGATTCCTGTCATTTCAGGGATCCTGATCAGGTAGTCTACACCTACAAATACGATTGCATACTAAGTTCGCTTCAATATTAAGCGATACACACGTAGGATTGAGAATAAAAACAAAGTTATTTGATCACCAAAACATAGTATAATTTACTAGTGATAGAAACAGAACTAATAAAGGACATAACATACACGAATGCCTTGATTTCCGATAACTTCCTCATCCTCCTCAGACGACTCTTCATCAGGATTAAAAACTAAAATGAATGAACAGTTTACAAATAAGAAAAATAATAATAGATAATGACATAAGTTAAAACAGAAGCTGTCAAATGGCTAACGTTATCTATGCAATAAAAATGCAGTGAAGAAGCCAAAAGTACAGTTAGTAACTGAAAAGTTTCATCAATAAAATCTGATACCTACGCAAATCTTTTCAGATTTATTGTTACTACTCCAAAAATGCATGTTTCATCTAAGTGTATATATACCATATGATAATGCAAGATATAAAGTACATCCTACGGTAGTTATGTTTACTACACCAAGATTATTTCCACTAAAATGAAAGTATGAAAGAGAATCCTTGCAGTTGTAATCAATTAGGTATAGTGCTAAAAATTAATATCTACTTAATGACCTTGGACAACAAGCCCCATACTAAAAAGCTGATATACATTAGTGAACTATATGGTGTATCAAGATATGCTTTACATTAGCTAGAATGAGGATAAATATGCTCATTCCATTTTAATCTGTTTATTAGAAATCTCACACAGTGAAACAGTAGCATTTACTGGATAACGTTTCGGATACAATTTATTGTCCATATTCATATCAGGTAACTCCACAACTTCAAGACAGAATTTATATATTCCTAATTTTCTCTCCTTCTCTGTGATGACAAGGGTAGTAGAATTTTCCATATATCTGGGACAGGTGCAGAATCATTTCGATTGCATGTATTTGGTGTCACTTCGATAAACAAAGGTTCGGTTGTCAATCTCTCCCGAGAGAGAGATATCATCATCATCATTATCAACATAGGACCAGGCATTACTGCCTCACGGTCCGAGTTGCCACACCTCATATCAGCACATCAAGTAAAAAGGCAGTGAGGCGAAGGATGAAGATAAGTGAATGCAATCAAAAGAAATATAAAGTACGAGAAGAAAGGAAAGAGGAGTGACAAAATGGTGAGATTCGGTATAGCGTTGTTAAGATGAGGATAATGTGTGTATACATCTGTGCCACTGACATCGGTTATCAGTCATATCATCACCTAGAGTCTCCAACCACCGCTTTCTCTCCTCCCACCAACCCCAACCACCTAGTCTGCATCGCCCCACATGGCTCAAACAAACAGTCAGAGACTTCATACATTGGTGACATGTTTTAGTCTGGCCACCTCAGGCCTTTTTACAGCCTCAACCTACTTCGGCCAACATTGTGTGAAGAGGCAATCGGTGACTAGGCATACGTAGTACGTGTCCCAACCATCTCAATCCATGAAGGTTCATAACCTCATCAACTGATTTACCTCTTCTCCCTAAAACTCGACGTCTGACTTCTGAATTACTCACGTAGTGACACCACGCAATACGGCCTATACTACAGAGGCAACGGTGGTCAAACACCTGAAGCCTGAAGCTATCGGTCGGGAGAGAGAGATATATGGAAAATTCTACTACCCTTGTCATCACAGAGAAGGAGAGAAAATTAGGAATATATAAATTCTGTCTTGAAGTTGTGGAGTTACCTGATATGAATATGGACAATAAATTGTGTTCGAATTACAATCGACCACAGTGCCCAAGTTTTACTCTTATACTCATAAAAGTCACTTACATTTTCTTGAACTAGACAATTCAATCAATGCATAAACGAAAGAAAGTCTTGAGAATAGCATTCATTTCTGTCCAGGCGCTTCCACCTATGTCAATGCTTTTTATTTACTTTTCACATACTATTGTTAGTTATACGATTCTGTTTATGCAGAATCGAAACAATGAATTTTGCTATCTCTGACTTGTTGCCACTCAAATACACCAATTATTAAACAAAATATATTGTTTTTAAAAAATAATATCGACGAAGAGTAACATAAATATACCCAGTTAAGATAGTAAATGGCTCAATAATGGCCTTATTACCAGTAAAGGAAATATTTTCACGATAAACTCTATTCTCTGAAGGCTACCTAAAACTCCGTTCTGACTGAACAGCAATCACAATGATACCTGAAATTTACCCATGCCGAAAACTTAGCGACATCCATTCAAAGATACTTTTGGATAAGAGTCAATCAGATCGCAACTGTAGACCCTGTAATAAAGTTGGTGATTAGAGCATTAAACGTTTGAGAATGTGATACGTTATAACTTAAGTAATCTACTAGTGAGTAAACATTGGAAAACGCGTTGATAGTGTGTACAGAAATCAAACGGTGAGCATTTCAATCAGCTAAGTGTGTAATATCAGTCTCCTTCTAATACGATTTAACTGTAAATAAAAGTCATTGTTTGACGAGTTCATTGGATATCACTCAGATTGTAGATTCATTGAGCCCAATGCACTCCAAATGTGTGTAGACTGTCGAGAAATATTGCAGATAATTGTTAGGGATGCCTAATCCCTAAGAAAAACTAACTTGTAGTGTTTTTATCATCTCTATAAAATGTAAACCTTATTTTCGTGCCATGCTATATTACTTATTTTCACCGCATTTTAAGATACTAAACGCTGATTTGTCCATTTCACACTTTTAATACGCTATTTTGTTTTCTTTCGCTAAGACCATCTGAGGATATTTAAACGACTGAGTTTTCAGCAGTTAAGATTCGGTTGAAATAAATATACTTTCAATCCCATCGTCTTATTCTGGTGTTAGGTGAATATCGAGTTGAAAAGTCATTTTTCCATCGTAATCGAATTGGGTATCGTTATATATACCGTGGGTCATAACAATTTGCAATTGTTATATTTATCGACATCAAACATATCTTCGGTGTATCGGACAGGATTATTCTCAAATGGCTGTTCACAGAAAAATCATTGTTTACACACTATGAATAATTTTTGAATTTGATAATATTTCGACCCAAGTTACTGTTCATGATCACGCCGTTAACTGATATCTTACTGTTTATTTTTGTTTGGTGATGACAGATATGCTGTGCTGCACGCTAATTAGACTGCCCGATCAACCCTAACTCTAGTTTGCAATCCAGTCGTTATCGTCTTGATGGTAATGTACTGGCAGTGTATGTTCACTTTCGCTGATTAGGCAGCTATACCGAAGGCTGGCCTTAAACTGATATCTGAAGGTCAGATAATAGTAAAACTACCAAAACATGAACAACCTAAACTACAGAATTCTGCAAACATGTTAAAGCACTTGCAGAAACACCACGCAGAAACTTCATTGAAGTAATAACCTTGACTTGAGACACTTAGTGATGACAAATGAAATGAAAAGTCAGATATGAGATATGTGACGAAATGCCTATATGAAATTTAGATTCATACTCAGACTCAGATGATTCTAACAATGCTAAGAAGAAATCATTTTTCAAAAGTGAATCCTAAACTATAGAGGTTTGTTTTTGTTTCAAGCATACTTTGGAATAATGCTAAATATCACAACTACTGTCTTGAAACATGGTACCAGTTCACGAAGTGAATATGGGAATGTAAACCTTCCGCTAGGGGTTCACATGACAACTGAAATCGGGGTTTCAAGACTCTAGATGATATGACTCAGAATTGGTGTCAGTGATGCAGATGCATCCACGTATTATCTTCAGACAAATCGTCATGTTGGATTTCGTTATTGTTTTATTCGTGCTTCTACTCGATTTTCTGGTACTTTTGGTTACTTTTTTCCTCACAATCCCCTAAATTTTATCTTGATGCCTTCTATCTTGAAGTGCTGGTATGACATATGGAAGCCTGGACTGTTAGGCACTGTTGCCAGGAGCCACGTTGATGTTAACTAATAGACTGATTTGTTGTCTTCTGATGCTTGATACTTTCAGTAGAAACAAATAAGCCAGTTCGGTAAGTAACATTTTGATCACTGTCCTGATACAGTATTTTTAGAAACTGCGAATTAATATAGGATAAAATGATTCGACTCAGCAGATTAACGATAAATTAAAAGGTGATTTTCTTCATACACCTTCGGTTTGTAACGGAAGAGAATTGAAAAATGAGTGGGAGCTATCCTAAATAAACTAAACTCTAGATGAGAACATATCAGGAAGACTGAAAAGAAGAAATTAGAAAGGTGATAATGAAGATCCGTTTCATCAATCTATGCGCTTTTACATGTTTATGCAATGGTTTGTGAACAACGTTTAGTGTGCAAGTGTTAATGATACTACCCAGCTGACTAGACTGAAGTAAGTGGGGAAAGACTTCCTGTCTAGGACTTGTTGCCTTGTAGCTGAAATCCAGTGAGCCATATCTGAACAACAACAATAACAGTGTTATTAACACTATTGAAAAGCGAAATAAAATTGCTGCTGTGTGTAGTAGAAATACAGGGGAAAAGATAGAATGATTAGTTTGCAAATGATTTACAAATCACATGAGCTGAATTTATTCGGGTACACCAATGATGAGCTAGGCCCTAAACGAGCAAAACGGCCGTCCGATATTTAGATCGCCCTGATCTGGTTGTCAAAATACAACAGATCAGCCTGAGTGGTTTCTAGCCATTCACGTTATTTAACAGTAGTATCTTTCATAAGAAAAGATATTGAAAATGATAAAGAACAGTGAAAACAACAGATGATGAACTGAATAATTAACAGTGGTATATATCAAAATCACGACCGGTCGGCATACCTGATAGCCGCCTTTTAAGTGCAGGCACCAGCTAGAGAAAAAACTTTCCACGTCCGTATAAACAGTTATCTAGTCCGTTTGCATTTGAAATGGCACTAAAAGCCATAATTATTTCGAAGCTGTGGAGTAATACTGAGGGGCTCCTAGTTCGAAAAACATCACATGCATGCCATGGTCATATTCAACAGATGGGACATCCACAACGTCGTCTTTTTGTGGTATGTCAACGGCATATCCTACTTCATGGATGCAGATCTCAGTTTTCTTGGTCTCGACTGGCTGGAAAACCTCTTCCCCGCAAATATGGCGCTTAAAGTCATACGTAATGAAATACAAACTTCAGCACCCCATAACATAGTTCAAAAGTTCCCAAATGTTTTTAAATCTGATACTGAATGATGTACAACAGCACAAGCCATTTCGTGATCACGATCCGATGCCAAATCTATCTTCCTCTAGAAAACACCCATGTCATGTGCTTCCCTACTACAAGTAGAAGCTGAACTTCCCCGTCTCAAACGATAAGGTGTGTTATTGTCTATATCTTCTTGACTGGTGAACCCTAGTAGTATTCATAAAAACCATAAATGGTGGGCCCGAATTAGTCCTGATTTCTCCATAATACATAATGTCCAATGACATCTTCACTATCCCAAACAGTCACACTTGTTTCGCGAAAACTGATCCAGTGGGGGTTTCCTTATAAGTAGAATGCAGCGAGTTATTAACTATAAACATCCATCGTATACCAGGCTGCACCTTTGGTCTAGCAGATTATCGATACCATCCTCTTAGGAGTGTCAGGGATCGTAGCGTATTTGGATGGCATACCTAATGTTGGAGCCTCACAAGCTGAATTAAATGAGCGCATCAAACGAGTTCTAGAAGAGGAATTTAAAAGCACGAATTGTGATTACATGCTGAAAAATACCGATTTTCTTTCCACTCTGTAAAGAAGTACTTTGGATTTCAAACATCCATGCCATAGTTGTTACGAATGCCCAGAAGGAAGTTGAGCGCAGAGTCAGGTTGATTCATTACATAGCTAAGTTTTAATACAATCCCAGCGTGTTCAGAAAATTGAAAACTAAATTTTTCTGAACCTATCGCTAAGTATGCCACAGCTTCTTTAGAAGAATATTCGGATTTAATTCAATATCAAAATACATACTGTTAAATGGTACATGTATGAGTTTCTGTCTTTATGCTACTGGTTAACTGCTTCGCTGTTCAGACTGATTGTTTCTAATTAGTCATCTTAAATTCAGACGCTCTTTGTCATTTGTCATCAAAAACAGTTCAAATAATCAACGTGTGTGTATAGTACTTTGGATTTACCTACGATGAGTCTGGTCGTCGTCCAGACCATGAAAATAACCATGCCAAGCAACAGATGCCCGGGCAAAAAGACTCAATCAAGCTTAGATCAGTCCGAGTTAGAACAGACCTAATGATGAACCAATTTCAGAGAACATCTCTTAAGGAATACAAGAACTCCTATGAGAATGGTCTAACAGAAGACGGCGAAAGATGGTAATTTTCTAAGTTTAACATTAAAATTTCTCAAGAGGGAAGGTATACTGGATATTAGATCCCTAAAAATATAACGTTTTACGCCCAGAATTCATAAATTTACCAACTAGAAATTGGAATTTCTTCTTTGCTCCTTTTTCCACCTCAAGTGTGTCGCTTGTTTCTACCGCTTTTAAAGACAATTTCTTTATCAACTGTTCTTCCGTTTTTAATATATGCTAATTCGTCTGTTGCTCCTACTATGTTCTTACTCTTCGATTAATGTGCAGTCTCTCCTCAGTAAAATACTATCTTCTTCGTTGTGTTAGTCGAGTGAGTTGTCAAGTATCGCATTGTTCATTCAGTATCCATATTTCGCATCCCCAGTAAACTATAACATTAAATCTCAACACTAACTCACTTTTATTTTTGGTTGCAGATTTCATTGCACTAACAGCACCACGAAAATATTTTTGGATTTTCATCATTTTCCTGAATTGGAGTTAAAGTGGAGAAAAATTAAAATGAAACTGTTATCATTCATACTGAAAACAGAAGCAGACATATTCATGCCAAGTTCAAATATCTTCTCGCTTTCTCGTTATATATATATATATATATATATATATATATATATATATATATATATATATATATATATATATGCGAAAATTCCCATTAAGACATTTAGTAAAACAAACAGTGTGATCGAAGAAATATTTCTTTTCAATTAGTTCCTCATCAATGGCTCTACACTAATATAGCATTTTCAAACGTAAAATTACATACCAATCTAGTGGTGAGAGTTGTTCAATGAAAGGTTATCAATCTCAAAGTATCAAGAAGGTGATAATTGATCAGGTAATTAAGACAGTTAACTAAAGCAAAGATTAATTATCGTAGAAAGATTTTGTGAACAGGTTCTTACATAATACTGACATGACAGAGAAGATGGAGAGGCAATTATCCGAATCCTTAAAAAAGCTGAAACAGCAAGGCTTCATTTCACAAAATGAGTATGAAACACTCAGACCTACTGGCACAGTAACACCGAGGTTGTATGGTTTACCAAAGGTGCATAAGAATGGATTACCACTCCGACCGATTCTTGACATGTCAAACTCTCCATACCATGCGACGGCGAAATGGCTAGTACAACTCTTGAAACCATTGCATAAGGAGGTTGTAAAGCATAGCGTCAAAGATACTTTTCACTTTATCGATAAAATAAGAGATTTGAATGTGAATAATAAGTCTATGATATCCTTAGACGTATCATCCCTATTCACAAATGTCCCTCTGATGGAAACAGTGGACTTCATATGTAGCGAACTGGAAAAGAGAAACATAGAAATTGGAATTACGGCATCCACCTTGAAAGAGCTTCTCTTACGATGTACAATGAATGTACACTTTCTCTTCAATAAGGAATTCTATAGACAGTCAGACGGTGTCGCTATGGGGTCACCACTAGGCCCAATCTTAGCGGATTTCTTCTTAGCAAAATTAGAAAATGGCCCTCTGGAAAGCATCATAAGCGGGTTAGAATTTTATTGCCGTTATGTAGATGATACATTCTTGATTGTGAATAACGAGGACGATGCAAGGATCATACTGGATGAATTCAATGGCGTCCATCCAGCAATAACCTTCACTATTGAAACAGAAAGTGACGACAGCATCACCTTCTTAGATGTCCGATTGACAAGGAAGGTGGATGGAACTATAAAAAGAAGTGTGTATCGGAAACCAACGTCAACAGGTCAATACACCCACTTCTTGAGTTTCGTCCCCTTGCAATATAAACGAAATCTCGTTAAATGTTTGGTCCATCGGGCGAGACTCATCTGTTCAGATGATACTTTTGACGAAGAGCTTCAAATTATCCACGATCTACTCAGTAGTAATGGATATCCAGAAACGTTCCTGGCTAAAAATATGAACACATCCAATATGAAAACCAGAATGCCTACAGTCTCCAAGAAACCATTGTTCCTAAGACTACAATTTCGAGGTGACATCATCAGCGAAATTGTGACACAACGCTTAAGAAATGCCATAAGAAGATCATTTAATGCCGCCAAGTTATGTTGTGTTTTCTACAGCCGGCCGATGATGACCACACGAACTAAAGACAGACTCCCTGACTTCTCCTCTTCTATGTGCATTTACCAGTTCAACTGCTCCTGTGGAGCTAGTTACATTGGACGTACAGTTAGGCAAGTCCGTCGTCGAATCGCCGAGCATCATCCTTCATGGCTAAGTAAGGGGGAAACCAGACTGACACGAAGCTCAATACTCTCTCATCTGATTGACACCGGCCACCGAGTTAACATTCATAATGCCTTTAAAGTTATTTATCACATTCCTTCTCACCTCACCCATCCTCTACGAGTCGTCTTTTACATACAGCAGAAGCCATAGGAATCCACCTACACAAGCCAAGTCTGTGTGTTCAGAAGAGATTCGTACAGCCTCTTTCTTTGCCTTGGCCATCTGTATAGCTCATTTATTACAACAAGACTCTTCATTTCATCCACCACACAATTCACTATAACTAATATTTTAATAGCTCCATTATTATTATATTATATTATTATTATTATTATTATTATTATTACAGACTTAACCATCTTTCTCTCCCCCTACTGTCTCTAATTACCGTCAACAATTTACCATTTTACGTAACAGTTCATTTTTGCTCTTTAGTTATCATTATACAAAATATCAATTATGTAAGAACCTGTTCACAAAATCTTTCTACGATAATTAATCTTTGCTTTAGTTAACTGTCTTAATTACCTGATCAATTATCACCTTCTTGATACTTTGAGATTGATAACCTTTCATTGAACAACTCTCACCACTAGATTGGTATGTAATTTTACGTTTGAAAATGCTATATTAGTGTAGAGCCATTGATGAGGAACTAATTGAAAAGAAATATTTCTTCGATCACACTGTTTGTTTTACTAAATGTCTTAATGGGAATTTGCATATATATATACATAAAACGGTGGTCCATATGTATTCATGCCTTATTTTCACCACAACTTCAATCAAGTTTTACCCCTGTTTGTTTTCTGGCTTTCTATGACATTTGATTACATTATTTCCATTTCGCTGCTTCGCAACTTATGTCGTTACGCAATGACTCACGAAGTGCATATATTGAGACTACTAAAATATCAAAAACAACACAGTACACGCAAGCATTTTCTCCTCATTTCAAAGGCCTTACAGATGCTTTTCATGATAATTTCTTATCAATCGGAAAACAATAGAAAGTCAGAGGATAACGAACAATTGTTTTTTCGCAGTTATAGATTCAATAGAATGTGTATCTGAGGAATGCAATCAGTATCTAACTGCATACAAATACGGTCTTTACAAGTCAAAAACTGGGAACAGCTGGCGAGACCTAGGATACAGAAAAGCACTCACTCAATGATTTAGATACTCAGTGGTTCTTCAGCCCATTTGCATGGGTACAGAAAGCTATCTCTTAGTAAATCAAATTCATAAGACCGCTGAGTTTAACAAGAATCAAACTGTGACAAATCGTTCTGACATAAAGATGTAACGATACCAGAATAACACACAACAAAATAAATACAAGTAGACTAACCCCATCACACCAATTGAGTTTTGTTGGGATAAAATGGAGAAATCATTTGTTTCTTCAGATAACGGAGTGTATGGCAGACTAGAATTACTGAAAAAGGATAAGAGACATTGGGAAATGACATAAATTACCAACAACGTATGGGATACAAAAATCACTATATAGCTACATACAAGTATGTGAATGATGTAAAAAAGATAGGAGCATCATACGTTGTACAGACGATGCAAGGAATATTTTGCTTTCTTTTTAGTAAGGATGAGTTTGCCTTGATTATTTCTATTTCAACAGACAACTGTAATCAGTGACATGGAGGGGATCGTGTGAAGAAGAAATGAAAGCTTGTGGGGAGTCGTGGAGCCATGGTAGAAAGACTTCAGAGAAGAGAGTGGAATGCAGGCGTGCTAATGAAGCCCTATATTCCACTAGGAACCCAAGGGACAAATAAAATAATAAGTACAATGATATATTTCATAAGAAGATAGTTGAAAAGAAACCTGGAACATAGCGACGTCAATCAGTGAGTTTCGTATAACGAAACTCAGAGGTGAACTACAAAACCCAACTGTTAACAAGGTATCAAAATCCACTTCAACTATATGGATGTTTCGCTCAACTTTCAGGTGAATAAGGGGTAAACAACTACTCGTTCTTAGTCACATCATATGATATGTGATCTCTGATAACAATCGACAAGACCATGCATCTTCAACTTACTGGTTTTAAGACTCGGTTTGCAACCACTCAGTTGGGTAGGTGAGTCTTGCTTCGTCTATTAGTGTTTAGCAGCCAAAATAGCTACGCAAATATCACTTAATAGGCTTGCTTGACTACATAGGAAACAAATCCCATAGCTGAATTTCTTGAATTTATTCGGTTAGAGCACGACAACAGTTCTAAAAACTAGTAGCCTAGAATCAACTGGAGGAACAAAAGATTTAAATTGATTACGAAGATGGGGAAGAAATTATTGTAAAGATATTCAAAGTCTAGAGTAAAATAACGGATGGACTTGTCAACATTAGTAAGGCGAATCACCAAAGGTCAAAGATATCACAATCACAGAACTAACAAACCACACCAGTAGACACGGATTTCATGGTTTTGTTCAACAATCTATATGACCCGCTTGGATTTCCCTGAATTCCACATTCTATGACTAGATAGTCATCATCATCATTAATCATCAATATCAACATAGGACCAGGCATTACTGCCTCACGGTCCGAGTTGCCACACCTCATATCAGCACATCAAGTAAAAAGGCAGTGAGGCGCAAGATGAAGGTGAGGAAATTCAATCAAAGGAAATATAAAGTACGAAAAGAGGGAAACAAAGAAAGAGTAAATTGTGAGATTCGGTATAGCGTTGTTAAGATGAGGATAATGTGTGTATACATCTGTGCCACTGACATCGGTTATCAGTCATATCATCACCTAGAGTCTCCAACCACCGCTTTCTCTCCTCCCGCCAACTCCAACCACCTAGTCTGCATCGCCCCACATGGCTCAAACAAACAGTCAGAGACTTCATACATTGGTGACATGTTTTAGTCTGGCCACCTCAGGCCTTTTTACAGCCTCAACCTACTTCGGCCAACATTGTGTGAAGAGGCAATCGGTGACTAGGCATACGTAGTACGTGTCCCAACCATCTCAATCCATGAAGGTTCATAACCTCATCAACTGATTTACCTCTACTCCCTAAAACTCGACGTCTGACTTCTGAATTACTCACGTAGTGACACCACGCAATACGGCCTATACTACAAAGGCAACGGTGGTCAAACACCTGAAGCCAACCTTCTCACCTTTCACCTTCAATGGTCATGTTTCACAGCCATACACTAGAACAGAGTGGACTACTGTGCAGTACACGACACTCTTAATAGACAAACGGATATCACGGTGGTGCCATAGGTGGCGTAAGTTGGCAAAAGCCAGCCGAGCTTTTTGTATCCGTGCAGAGAATACATCGACCACTGAGCCACCAGGGCCGATCCTACTTCCCAGGTAAGTGAAGTGGTTGACACACTCAACCACTTCACTCTCTATTGTTAGCCGTGGCACCACTGAAGACCAATCCTGGAGCAACAATTTGCATTTGTGTGGTGAGAACCACATCCCAAACATTCTCAGATTGCCACTCAGTGTTCAGAAGACTCTACATCTTGTCAGCGTCTTCACTTAACAGGACAATGTCATCTGCATATTCTAGGTCTAATGAAAATTCTCTTGTGATTAGGTCAACGCCTGTGTAACCTGGTGACGAGAGGGAGACCTCTATAAAAATATGTATGATGAAATTGAACAAGAATGGAGACAGTGTGCATCCTTGACGGACACCATTCGATGAGCATAGTCATTAAAATAGACGTCCTAAACACTTCAGTTTATGTGTCCATCACTCATTTGACAGTTGCATCACATGTGAAAAATGGCTCGAAGGCAACAACATCAAACGGCTGCAAGCTTTCTGTAATACCCACTTTCGGCAGTCATTTTGCAAGTAAGGGAGTGGAAAGGGCAGTTGTGTAACAACACGCATTTGATCCTTGAAAAGCAGGAGTATCTGCGACCAGCATTATGAAATAAGCTAAAAGTGATTGTTAATTCACCACTCCTTACATCTCACAGGGAATTCATAAGAATATGACAACACAAAATAAGAATTCGCATTTAAAATTACCTCAAGTCAGAAATAATAAAAGAGCAGAAGTACTACAATTTTGAGAATATCCGAAGTCTAAAAGGTAACCAAAATGCACGCTCATACAGTAGGTAATGAACCACACCTAGGGTGAAGGCTGATGATACTATTCGGTTGCACACACCTAAGTAGGTGGAACTGGCTTCGAACTTGTGACACGCTAGTTGAATGTCAACTACCTAAACCCATGAGCTACGGCTCCACAAGACAAACAAGTCTTCAATTCTAGTAGATTTCGAATTATGAATACAGAAGTATTTCACCTACATTTTGCTTTATGCTCACCTATTTTCATTTTTCGTTACAAAGCATCTAAGCGTTATGCAGTTTCATGCACTAAGCTTCAAGTAAAACCTGTTGTATGAGAGTCAATGACACTGCCCTTGAGAGAGGTAGTGCGATTTTAACCATAACGAAATAGAGAGAAGTGAATACCCATGATATCTATCTTTCCGTTTCATTCAGTATTTAATTTTCATTGGATCGCTGAAAGACAACAGTGGCAGAAGTGTGATATGTTGTTAATATCCTTATAAGTTTTCCTTATCCTCTTATTTGCCACACAACTTTTGCATCCAAAGACTGATTTAAGATACGATGAATGAATATAATGTGGTGTTGTGTTACATTCAACATACTAACAATGAACACATTCAAAAAAATCAACTCTCAACAAAATTGATCTATACTGTGCAATTTTTATGGCAATAACAGAAGACAGATTTACCTTCTTGTACGATCACGAAATTGCATTTCTATAGGATTCACCAATTGTTTTTCATTGTTTAATGTAGCTGAAGACGACTTTACAATTTTATCACCACTCTTCGTAATGTTGTCACAGTCTATAGTGGGTCTATTCATTAAAGTCACTGTGTTACGAAATTTGCTCCCATTTAATAATGTTTCTTCATTCCCATATTGACTTTCACTCAGATTTAATTCTGTTTGCACACTGGTACTAACTAATCTAGATGAACGATGAAGGCAAGGATGGAGTAATTCATCAGTCCGACCACAAGTGATGTTGGCAGTAGTGGATTGTGGAAACATGGATTCAAATCGTAAACGATTGTAAGCTGTATCGTATAGTGAACTGACAGTATTCGAATCCACCTGGCCTGTTTGATATGCAGGTAAATTGTTACTTGCTAACCATGTATTTGTTGGTAAAAAAAAGAGCATAGAAAAACTGATTGAAGAAACAGATGACGAGCATATAATGCATCATTATGTCACAACGCTCAAAGTATCTAAAAATATTTGTTGACCAAATTACCAAACTGTCAACGGTTACCTTTTAAAAAAAAAGTGTATTTCAACACAATTTTATCCATTTCATCATTATCATCATAATTCAGTGAGGTGTTGCTTAACCCTAACAGACACATTGAGTATACTTTTTGGATCATTAGCTTAGACATTGAACTATAGATCATTGGGCAATAAATTTAAATTCACATCATTGAAATCGGTCTCACTAAATGCATAATACCATATACCCCTATAATTCCAGCACGGTTGGTGTACTAACATATAGAGTACTGATAATATAATAAGCTCTTAGTGTATCCGTTTAAGACAAAATCATGCAAAAGTGAGATATGTGTGAATTGCATAAATATTCAGGCTATTTTTTTAATATCATGGTTCTTCTATTATATGTATCACACAGTGAAATAGTATTATCTATTATATGGTTGCTGATGTTAAACTTCAATTTTAGAAAAGTAGATCAGATAAAACTAATCTGCTGGTTAAATCCAGTTGATAAGTCACACATAGGACGAAACGTGTGCCTTAGATTTCACTGCTAGCCACTATCCACCATTATTATAAAAGAGGGAAAATATAGAATCGTGCAGTTATGTGGGAAGGTAAATTGATAGAAAGGTTCATTTAATTATGGATATGACGAGAACTGGCAAGAGAGCCATAGTGATAACGGGGGAAAATGATTTTTGCACTTAGACGAACATCAATCTGGAAATAAAAGGTGATAAGATGACATCTGATAGCTCAAATACTATAGTACTGAACAGATAACTTCAAGACTGCATGCTTGAACTTAACTGCGACTGCAGAAAATCACGTGAACATTTTATAAACTTGTTCCACGCATACTCACCAATACACAACGGTGGCTTCTAAAATTTGATTACAAACATTTCGGCGTTAATTTACTGAATTCAATTAACGTACAATGGTCAAACAGATGGTTCTTCTTCAAAGGAAAAAACTCATCTAAGTTACCATATGCATGAATAGTAGACACGAATGAATGCAGTTGAAAACTAGTTAATTCATTAACGACTACTGTAGTATTGGATTTAAAGAGTGATGCCCACTGGTAATATCTAACATCTGATAGATACTCAGGTGGATTATGGTTTCATTATTCATTTATAGATCAATAACTTACCGATGCGATCTAGTGTCACAGTTCCATTAACTGATGCTCCTGACAGTCCTGAATTCTGAAAGAAGTGGAAAAAATAGCATAAGTATAGATACTTTAATAGAAGGTCTTTACTGTGTACATTTACAGATGTACTTCTACAAGGGGTTTTAGAAGCACAAGATATTTGTTCAACACTGATGAATGACATGACCTAGTATATAACAGCGGATCCGTAAACAGTGTAACCTTCATACCTCACCCTTTATGCTCGCTCAATGCCTCGAAAAATACAAAAGGCAGTAGAACAAGTTGTAACGTCAAACCATGTACAAGATACAACGGTATATATATATATATATATATATATATATATATATATATATATATATATATATATATATATAGTGCATCGACCACTTTATCCGACAAGAAATCTGGAATATCTTGATAAGCTAGTGGACAACAAGATATATATAAGCATGTAAAGAGATATAAATGCATCACCTAACATTCCAGCCTTTATATTTCATGAGCTAACCCAGTATTTTTAAAGGGATTTGTGAGGAAGAAATGCAATCTATTTCCCTAAACAGAAATAAGATGTGATTGTTGACGCTGAGTATCATATGAAGATCGATAGTTTTAGTTCAGAAGCAAAAATCATACTTTTTTCATCGGTGATGAAACTAGTAAGTGAGAAATTTCCACTTAAGGCGTAGTTTTATGCAGGGAAGCCAGGGTGATACTGACAGCTCCGTTTAGTTGATTACTTTTCAATGTACTGTTAAATTGTTACAACACCTAGCTGCACCGGATTTGAGGGTACATTGTTCTCTCAAACAAGCATCAGTGTATGAGCTGAAAGTGAAACAAGCACGCTCCATGTGTACATCAGTATAACACTCTGAAAACCTCGCTTTTTAAAATACATTTATTACATCTGGGTAGAGATGTAGGCATAGTTGACTCTGGTATATGAATTTTTGTTAAACTAGTGTCCTTGAGGCATGTAACATTCTTGATAGGTATAAAAGCATATTTTGAAGCCGCACATATCCAATCTCAGTATTCAGACAGACATACAAATCAACGTAGGGGCTGAAGCAGAAGAGTCTCATTTCAATCTGCCACACTTCACAACTATGCACAAAGAAAAAGTAGGTGGAAGAGTGATATTACGATAGATGGGTGCATGGAAGTTGAGAGAATAACTATGTTAATGAAAATATTCAGAAATTCGAAAATGGCGAACAGTGTATAAATCCACTCAACTACGATGGATTTTGAGCCATATCTTTAACCACTGATTCATATCATCATGAGGACCTCCAGTCGAGTAGCTTACAGTTCTCAAAGGCCATGGACTTCATGGATTGATGCAACACCATAGTCAGGAAACATTCAGTTTCTCCCAGCCTGATTATATTTCGGTTTCACCACTAATCGAGGTACGCAGTGACTCAGCCAGAGCTACACATATCCAAACCACCTTAGTCGTTGAGAGTTAATGACCTCATTAAAGCCTAAATACGACTTAAATGTCTTCCTTGATAGCAGTTTATATTTGTAAATCCAGCTGACTGATTAAAATAAAACTTTTGAAATTGGTGTATGATACAGCAACTCTAATCTGGGGACAGTGAAGTGAATTCTACTGCATCTATGGAATAGATCGCTAGAGATATGGTTTAAATTCGTTAACTACCGATTTTCGCTGCGTAAAAAACTGCAAATTTTGACATTATGTAACCCCACTGTGGATTACGCCAATCACGAGCTACAAGATAGATAATTTAAGACAAAGGTTTACAAAACCTCAGCAAATAACTTTGAGATTTGTTCTGGAACACATCAACTTTTCGTGATAGAAGCTAGTTATTATATTTCAGCCCCTTTTACATCAAACGAAAAGCTAATATTATAAAATCTCCCATTCTAGAGAACAAAAATTAGTTGAACAGAAAAACCTACCTGTTGTCTGGCTGCATCAAGAGACCAAGATTTAACGTATTCCAGCAGATTCTTGGCATCTTCATGCCGATTTGATACCTCAGGAGCTGAAGATATCACTTGAGGTCTGAGGAGTTGAATGACTGGGAGGTTTGAATTTTCAGTTAAACTACAGTCAGGAATCTCAGGTAGGTGAGAAGCGATACCTTCATTAATAACCGAGGGTACGAATCTATACGCTGAAGGAGCGTCATTAGGTGCTGCGTTTGAATAACCGTACAAGCCGGAATCCATCGGAGTTCTGAATGTACATTCACTGGGATATTGCAGTGATCCACTTTCTAGAAAAATAGTTTGTGTCTGAGCAAACTGTGTTTTCATCAGTTGTTTTTGAGCATTTTCACTGTGTAACAGACTTAAATGGCTAGTTATGGATGGTTCTGGAACATTTACATATGGTAGTAAACCTTAAAGAATATCAACGGAGAAAAAAGAGAGACTAAAAGTATAAGTAGGAATCGACCGTAGAGACAAAGACATCCTGAAAGGCAATAAGCCAGTCATTAGGCAATTTTAGCTCTATGAGTTTAGTGTTGCGGACACAAATCTATGGGATAACCTGTATAATTTATTACATTCACTGAAAATACGAAATTAGTACAATATGGAAGCCAAAAAACTAACTAATAAATAATGTAACAACACTATGAAGACACAAAAGTAGTATGAAGAGAAGCGGAGAAAAACAGATGCAAAAAAGCAGAAAATAAATCAAGGAAACAGTTTTAAAGATGAATAAAAGGAAACATTCCATCTTCGCTTGTTTTATTTCCTGACAGCTAACGAAACAAGAAGGCTATAGCATAACCGCAACTGGTTGGTTCTGAATCCTATCTCGTAGTCAAAAAATGCTGAGTAGCACTATCTATCGGAAGTCTTGAGGCACCAACGAACGACAAACTGACACAGCTAGACTTCATTCTACAATGCTAAACTTGACTCTAACCAACTTTTCGCCTCCTTTATTCAATCCCAGGGCTGGTAAAGGATTAACGATATGGGGGTCTTTTGGACGACATTTATAACACTCCAAGCCACCGAAGTCGGCTTAATAGGTGATGATTTCCATCACGTCTAAATATGCGCCATAGGACCCAAGGATTATATGATGTTCTCACTGGATGCCATTAATCATAAAAAGGTCATCAAATATACACGCACATCTTCAGTCCTAAGAGGTCTGCTAGGTTCCATGCAAATAGAACAACTCTTCCCATACCAACCCATTGTTTAACCGACTTCCTAATTTACGTTAACACTGTGACAGTAGAAAAGGATGTGCCACTCTGGCTCTACATTTATGGTTGGAAATTTTATCAGTTACACCACCAGCGTTTATACAGCCACACAGGTACACAAACATGTCGACTACTTCCAACGGTTCTCAGCCAAGCGTAAGTGCACGTACAGGCTCTGACCAATTATGTTAAATCAGGTAAATAGGTTCACACTAACCCTGCATACCTCTTTCAGAGCCAGCTCAAGATTTTCATCGTTGGCAAAGTCGAAGTGAAACGGCAAAATGAGGCAACTCTACCTAAACCGGCTGTTAGTTCAGAACATTCCGTTTTACCTATCGCACTGATATGCTTTTTTAATAAGGACGCTCAAAAGACCACATTTGATAAAGGTCTAAAAAAGTGTAACACATTTTTGAATCAAATGAAATTCACTCAATCACCTTGGGTACGTCCGTGCACTAGGCAATGAGCCTGAGCCACACCCGTTGTGTGAGGGCCATTCACACTACCTAGCTGCCCAAACCTCGGCTCGAACCCGTGATCCGGTGGGTGGTAGTCATCTTCCTAAACCACTAAGCCATAGCTTCATTTACGCCTTGTTAAATCGAGAGAGATAAATTCATTGCTCTCTGATGAAAAATATTTTCGTATTGTTGTCCCAGCAGGCAGAAAAAGTAATGAAAAAAAGTACAAAGGAAAAATAACATTCTCTTTGTGTTGAACACATGTAAATACTTTCCCCAAAATATACATGAACTTAGCGTTTAGAAGATGCTATAACAATACGACCTAGCAACAAAATACAGGTTCACTTACTATGCTGTGAGAGGTACCTGTGCAGGATATACTCAGTTAACCAGAGTGAAGTAGTTAGAGTGGCAGTTGTATTTAAAATTCAGAAAATGTTTTTAAACAGGATTGGACGAAATGATTAGCAAACAAATAGCTAACAAGTAACGTACAGACCCTTAGACGATTTTTCAGGAAATCATACACAGTAAGGATAAGTTGGTATTTTCGTATCAAAGAGTGATGAGAGTAAATATGTCGACGAAACTATCAATAACTCAGGTAGAAGCGACGAAATAACCCAAGGTCAGCCAAAGCCCATATTGCTGGGTTGTAGCTTTGTTTGAGCACAACATAATACATGATGAACCGAAGAGCCTTCAAAAATATCTAAGCGAAGAAACAGTTCGTATTTAATCCCCATTTTATATACAAAAGTAGAGCATCAAGTGGGCTGGAAAGAAAAACTAATATTGATCGCTATGCTACGCAAAAAGTAGCTTCAAACCTATGACTACACAAGAAATCCAAAATAAGTAACTGTCAGCCGAACGACGTTAACAGAATTGTCTTTTTGCTTACTTGGTTTTTCTTGCGGTGAGCCGAAAAAGCCAAAATCAGGCTTGGAGTACAAACTAATTCTTTGCAATAACTCTTGGTTTTGAGTGTGCACATCCTTCTCATCTGGTAAAGTAGTTATTTCAACTTCTGACTGACGTATTTTACTTGTTGGAGAAGTGAAATCATTCACGTTACGGCGTAAACAAACCTGAAGACAAAACGTTAGGAGATGAGTATAAGCAATCTACTTTTATAATGCATAATCAACAGAATAAAGAAACAATACTTATTTCAGTCATTCAATTCACTACCTGAAAGCTATGTAATTGCTAAACGTGAGTGGTTAGTCACAACTGTTAAATACAAGGTCACTTCTAAATCAAAATGTGGTTTTCAGTTCCCGATTGAAATTTTTTACCCACTCACTTTATGTGTTGCAAGTTCCAAATAAAATAAAAGAACCAAGATACACTTCAGTATTGAGAGTAGTTTGGTAGGTTGAGAACCAATCTTCTCCATCCATGTAACTGGATATGTATTTAAGAAACTTAAAAAAGCGGAGTATAAGCACACAATTAAGACTAGTAACCACTGAAATATGATTCACAAGTTTCCTACAGTCTTGTGAATTATGTTCCAGAAATAAGAAGATAGTGATTCTATGAGACGGTCCAATCTTTATTAAAATCTTCAGAAAGGAAAGCAGAACTCTCACACGAATATTAATGAGGAGCATGAAGCTATTTAGAGTTTTATGTGCCACCACACCTAGTACGACTGTCTTCGTTACGTCAGGATAGCCACCGGTACTGACTTACTGACGTCACTTACATGTGACGCAGTGGCTATGGAGACGATACAAGAAAACATGGGGAGTCTTAGCCAAACCAGATAAACCGATCGGAGATATGAAACTTCGCCTGACTGTTGATCTAAGCCATGTGGAAAAGTGAAGGGTTATTGGTCAAAAGCTGTGAGACAGCCAAAACCGATGGTTAGATTTCGGGTAACAGTTTAAAATTGACGACTGGCACAGATGCATGTAAGCCTAATCTCTATCCAGATGCGTGAAGGCTTGACCACTGAATATTCCCATCACATTTTTACAGATTTCTGTCTGATAACTCTTTCACAACAACTGGTATGGCCGTTTGTTCTTCCTCATATTTGCGCACTCCCAATGCCCTAGTGCAAAGCATCCAGTTTGAAGTGATTCACAATTATACCCTATGTTATGTCGGTCATATCCTGAATTATTATTCCAACCATTATCACTATCATTATTTCCAGTGCTCCATAGGCCTTTGACATTACGGAAGCACTGCTGCAGGTTTTGATCTCATTAATAGATATCAAGCTGAAGAACACTTGTTTTTTAAAGTTTATTTCAAATGAGAGAAGGGACTCAGGTGCGTAGAAGTTATAACTCAGGGGTTCAAATAGTTAAATTTAGAATGCGTGGTCTTATGTTCAAAACTCTCGCTCCTTACTAAGATTTAAGTAACAATATGGTTTACTCAACCCATAAAATAAAGTTGTAACTCATAGCAAATATGCGAATCTACACAAATTCACTTGCACACACTTCTACCCATTTTAGATCTTAAAACAGTACTATTTAGTTAGGAATATAATTTTAATCATGACCAACCAAGAAACAATAAAGTGAATGCACTTGAAGTTGTTTAGTGACTAGAAAATAATACTACCATGGTGAATGACAGCTCGAGTGTGACAAGGCCATTAAATCTCCTCCATATTAGATCGGAAAGGACCGACAGGCTTTTAGGCTTTGTCGATGAAATAACTGTTTGGGATGGGTCCATAGCACCCAACTGAACCCCATTATTCGCAGTGTGTTAGGTTAAAGAAGTCATCCAGAAACACCTAACAAAGAAAACGGTTTTTCTCAGGAGGACGCACACAAAATACTACCTGAAATACAGGTTTGTTAGCCCATTATTGTAATTCACATTGGCAAAACAAGGCAGAAACAAATTCAAGGGAATACTAGATATTAAAATAATGATGGCAGTCATAGAAAATTGAAGACGGAAAGGAAAGAAAATAGGAAATGAGACTAGAGATTTGAATAAGCAATCTGTGGATAAACTTGAGGTACTGTGGTTGATTTTGAGACACCAACATAGGCTCCCAATAAAAACAAATCGATAGGAATACCAATGAACCCTAATACCAAATGAGTGATTTTTCAATACTTCGAATATATATTAGCTCTCCATTAATACAAACTACTATAATAGGCTTGGAAAAGTAGCGAAAGTATTGGGAAAGAAGTTTGCCACAAATTACATCAACAGAAAACAAAACGGGAGAAGTCATAATGAAAGTGACCGTAAAGACAGAAACAGGATTATTCGCTGACGTCAATAACTCGGAACGAAAGACATGAACGTTATACTAAGACATTGCCTATAATAAAATATGGTACGACCTTCGCATCCTTGAAATGGATTTCCAACCATATCATCTAGTTTTCTGCTTCCGATTTAAATAAATAGTCTTAAAAGACAGCTAGGAACCTTGCACTGATATTAAATTTCATTGAGATCACCAATGACACTCTGACGTTTTGTTTTTACTACAGGTAGAACAGTACGTTGAGGTAACGTATTCTATCCAACTCGACTGAACGAGATTTATGTCACTCAGGAACTATATTTCTACTCAGTCATTCCATCACAAGTTTAAGACATTTATGCCTCACAAATAGTGTGAGAATTACGATGAGAACAACAAGATCGCGAACAAAAACAGACTTGTTTAATATCATTTCATCTTGTTGGTGATAGAGCCATTTGACGAAACATCATTTTTCGCACAAAATAGCTGGAAAATTTAATGACGAGTATTGAGTCACAGCGGATATCCAATAGATAAAATGTGATTGAATGTCGTAGAACAATTTGATTAAGCATCACCCTATTCAGTTACCGCGCAGTTAATCACGATTACCTTACCAGTCCTTGGTATGCCTGTGTGGAACGGACATACACAGGATACTAATAAGCTGATGAAACCTGATTTAACTGTTGGCAGATATGCAGTGTCATAACCAGACGAGTAAATAGTGAAATCGAATTTCATGTAGTCCACAGATGTATGGATGAGGAAACAGGAAAAACGAAAGGGAACCCAGTCCAAGCAAACAATATTAGCAAACCCAAATCGAAAAGGAGGAAAATATAGAGGCAGTAAAGGGAAAGCTTATTTTTAGAACATGTAGGAAACTCCACGCAAAATGGTTATTTTTTCCTTTTGTTTTTTCTCGTAGTTGTCGTCTTTTCCCCTGCTTCCCTAATCGCTTGTTTTCCGGCTGGCGACTAAGGAAAATAAAACGAAAAATAACTTCACCACACCACCTTTAGTGACAACTGCTCCTCAGCTCACACTGCATCCGTATATTCCATCATTTATCATACACTATGTAAGAATTGGCATAACTAGGAGACCGTGTAGTACATGAAGGAAATGTTAGGAAACCTCCAGCTACCTATTATACTTTCGAGCTGAGAAGGGTTGGAAATGTGCTACTTAGAGTCTCAGTTTACATCTTGGGATTTGAAATATAAGATGCATATACATTAAATGACAGAAAAGATTTGTAGCCCAGGGTAATGATGATGTTGATTCGACATCCTCTGAACTTCGGTATTTTATCGTCGACATTCCTCTCCGAAGTTGATGCTGGGGATTTCACTAAACCTGGTGATGAAACGTTCACGCAGAAGCTAAGGGAACACCAAACCATTATGGACATACATGTGAGCACAAAAGTATGCACACATTAAAATTGGAAAATTACTTTAGTCATTATTCCACGAACCAAATAACTTCAGTTATAGAAAAATTGGCAGCTCCACCCTTGTCAACTTAGATATAACATGATATTCCATTTCCTCCTAGGCCAAACACTCTCGGGCGATTCTAAGGAAGTATGATGTTCTTTGGCAAGGAGTAATTTTGAACCAAAATAATCACTTAGAGGAAGCTATGGATATTTTGAGGAACTACGCAGCACGTTAGAAAAACTCTGGGGAAGTATGAAGAGTCACCGAAATTAATTTCATTGAGATAATACAAACTGATTACGGTAAATACATGTTTCTTTGAAATTACTAGCATCAAGCTTCACCAAAAGTTCAAAGACTTTCCCTTATTATTCCTTAAAATAGTTAGCTTCTCAGTCAATATTTTTATGGGGCTAAATAGATCACTCACTATAGAAAACATTGGGATAGGCGTGGAGTTTTGCAGTATATTCCCAACGTCTGGCTACACGTACTGACTGTTGATCCTAAAACCAGCCCCATTGGCCTAATCAAAGCAGCGACCCAAAGTTTAGCCTTGTGTACACTATATCTGGCCCTACATCAGATTCATGGCCCAACGTTGCTTATTTAGCCCGATGAAATTGTTGACTGGGTTGTAAGGCCGACAATCAGTACGTGTGACCAAACGTTCTGCCATTTGTTAAGCATCAAGACCAGACGTAGGGCTAAATATGTACCACATGGGGCGAAGTGCAGGGCCAAAAAACATAGGACCAGAGGTAGGTGAAATATTGTGAAACCCCAAGCCTGGCCCGACGTTTTCTATGGTGAGTGTCTCAACGTTCTATTTGGACTTGGGCTTAAGCCCAGCCAGCACTTACATTGGGAGCACCCTTGCACTTTCGGGTTTTAGACCGAAGCAACTTTGGGCACACTTACCAAATTTCGGGTGGACCCTAAAATTTACAATTATTTCCGGTGGCCGTTTCAACTTCATTGATTTGTAATACACAAACACTTGCAGCAGTGGAACGTGAACGACATATATGATAATATTACCAAATATGGCTTCTCAGAACTGTGAATATAGGTTGTTACAAAGCTTAAGGCGCATTGCCTACACTTTGTGAACTTCGGGAGCACTTTGGAACTTTTCACGGTTTTAGGAAAAAAAGTTCGGAAGTTTAAGGGGATATCGTGAGTCTCCTAATCTGCGCTCGAAGTAAAATTTTCGTGGTTATGCCCAAAACTTACAATGTGCGCCTGAAGCAAATACTGGCTGGGAGCTTGTTCACACTGATATATACTGAACCCATATCGTCGGGAAAGGGGAAAATAATTCTTACTATGGGTAAATAAGTGGGAAATAAGGAGGAAGCTCCATGGTAAAAATAAGGCGATATTAGTGGGGAAATGCAACCGATTTTCCCTTTGTATGCTTTTTCCCCTTTTTGAAAGTCGCAAAACAAATGTCTCACATTTTTTTCATCCATAACTTCCATATTCGGTAGACCAGTTGACTGACAAAGTGAGAAAGACTTATCCAACAAGTTCTTTTTCAGAGATTCCACTCGACTTCGTCTCCGTGCATTTTGACTTTCAAAGTCATATGAAGTGCGAATCAATTCGTCTTCGCTCACCGAATGAGGTATAGGTGAAACAACATATTTGTCACCCCAACTGCGGTAACCGAATCCACATCCTAAGGCTTCTGGGGCATCAAAAAACTCATCCTCATCTGAACTCATTTGCTCATTTGTCATATGGTATTCCAGAAACCGCGCTAAGTCTGACCCTAGGAAACCTTGCCTGAAGGTCGTCTAAAAAACAATTCATAAATTAAACACCGCATACATTAATTGTCTTTTAAATACCGGTACTGTCGATTTTCTCCCATTCAATGAAAATCTCCATCCACATGCCACAATTGGTTGGAGCTGCTTTTTGGGATAGGTTGACTTTTCTCAACTCGCAGGAACATCCATATTTCGGGCGTCTAGGCGTTTAGTGAATCTGTGGAAGCAAATAGCTGCCCAAATTTAAGGCTCTGTACACCGAAGAAATTCAACAGGGATGGTGACTTGCCCCTCAAAGTGCCTGGAATAAATACATTTTGCTTCTGCCACTGCCGTCTTATTTGCTGCCTCTGTTTGTCTGCACCTAATTGTCCCTAGCGTTAGCCACAAACCCATGTGACGTGCATGCTCTGAGAACAGAAAGCGGATTTTTCTACCCCTTTTGCATTTTCCTGTCCTGCCGTGTAATTCACATCAAAGGCTTTCTTATAAACCTTGACTTGAGGTAATTGAGTCAGTGTTTGATGTTAAATCGTTTTGAGGTTTAAGGTTGATTTTTGTGTTGTCACAACTTAGGTCCTTGAGTCCAAATTTTGACCGAATTCTTCAGTTAGAGCACGGTGTTATTATATAAAACGGAATGGCGAATAACACGGCTAGAGATAACCGTGCTTGTGGTTGTCCCAGCTGTAAATTTCCAGTCGATGAATTTATGCATTGTGATGCATATGGGTGTTGTTCCACATAGTTTGTACCGGGTTGACACCAACCGTGTACAAGCATTGCAGCAAATCAGATTCTTCCTGGTTATGTGATTTTTTGCTGCAAGCCGTTGTCATTCCTGATCTAGGAAGCTGTTGAATATGTTACTTGTCAAAAGGCGGTCACGTGGGAATGATGGCCATCATTTCAATGCGGCATCAGTTGATGACAGCGCGATTGTTGTTGTTAATGCATGCGATACAGGAGCTCATAATGCACTGTTGGATGCCAGCGGTCTAACCGGTGAGATTACACCGGTCCCGATGTGTACTCAACTGAAGAGAAATCAAAGGGTTACTGGTACACCAACTACATTGCTAAGGCTTCACCAGAAGACGAGACCTCTGCTAACAGCGTTGACTGTATGAAGGTGGTCGACGAATATGCACTGACGTCTTCAAGAAAAAATTCGAAGAAACCTTCAACGTTTATTACTGAATCTACTAAGCTTATGAAACCTACTGACAAGGTTTCAAAGGCTGTCAAGAGTCCCTCACCAACGCCCAGTGTTATCTGCAAAGTTGAGAAGCCACCGGACGGAGACTCTTCAATGCGTCATAACTATAACCTGAAGGTAGTCAAGTCGGCCATCAGACGTGCTCTACCTGAAACGTCTAAGGAAGTAAACATCTCCAAGTTGGTAAGGCTGGGCAAGAAAAAGTGAAAACTTGATGATAAGAGGATTTTAAAGGTTGTTTTAAGCAAAAAGAAAGTGGCTGTACTCTTGAGTAACTCATCCAAACGACGAAACTCGGATATCCGCTTTCGATTTGACTAGCATCTCGAGGACGAAGTAGGATGAAGAGAAGCCGTCCCCAAACTTGGAGCTCAACAAACTAATAGGGGAAAAGGATCCTAAAGTGGCAGGTTTTTGGCCTGTGAAGTCTTGGAAGAGAATATTTTAAAAGCCTGTATGGATGCGTCATGGAACTCCTTCAACACAGCGAACGTAATCTACACCGATGTTCTCAGTATTAGAGGCAAAACGACAGACCTCGAAGTTCTTATGTGTAAACTAGGTCCTGATGTTGCAGTCCTTACTGAGACCTAGGTAATAAAGGATTTTGATTTTACGCCACTCCACACAAGGTATTACTGCGTAAAAACAGACAGGTTTGTAGGTCTCGAATGTGGCGGGATAATACTCCATGTCATTGGTGACATACATTCACGATCAGCCACGTCCGAAGCACACGACTGAGGGACCAGTGACGTAGCTAGGTGCGAGCTGAAGTCAAAGCAAGGTTTTCCTACCACTGAGGTCATTAACCGTAGTACCTGTCACCTTGCAAATGACTTTGTGCCAACCTATATGCGTAACTGGAGAAGCAGCAGATTATTAATAGTTGGGGAGTCTGAATGCTCCACACATGAAATGGACTCAGCCAACAGCCTTAGCATCAGGCAGTTCTTTTGAAAATGACCTTCTTTTAACGGTACTAGAGTCTGCTTTGGTTCGAAACGTAACTTGTACAGCACGACACGATTGTGAGCACAAGCCGTTGTTATTAAATTTATTTTTGCCCCACAAATGTGAAGACATTTGGGATCTACGACTTTTTTCTTCATTAGCTAACAACGACCATGTAGTGCTAACCCTTGTTCTTCAGACCAGTAAGTTTGGTTATGACCCTGCTTCTCGGAGACGGCGCCCGGACGTCTGAAGAACACGGGGCTGAGCAGTCAACAGGGACTAATTGATTCAGAACGTATGAGATAGGTATAGGACTCTATTTGAAGAGGCTACGACGCCATACATCCCCTGGTTGACTTCACGAAGATCCTCGCATCACCCTTCGCGGTTTGATAAGGACACTTAGGAAATATTAGGGTGGAAGAAAGGTTTATGGGACTTGTTTATAGAGACTGAACTGAAAACATTTAAACCTAGGCACTGTAAAGTCCGTAATCTTTGCAAAATTTTGATTGCACATTCTCGAATGTCCTACGAGAGGCAGCTCTTTAGGGGTCGCCAAAAGTGTCCTTAAAGACCGTTCGCATTCATCAGAAGAAGGAATAAGAGCTAATGTGGAACTCCTCTTTTGGCAACCGACGAAAAGTCAGACAGTCTGGCGGGATCAAATATGTCCAAGGCCGAATGTCTACCGGATTACTTCAGCGAAGTCTATTCTGTGGATCATGATGATGCAGTGAGCGGCATTGTTGTCAGCACTGCTCCACCAGTGGATGCGGTGTCCATAACAAAGGACAGTTACAGATGCTCATCAACTGTAAACCTGGAAAATCCCCGGGTCCCCGTGAGTTACACCCTACACTGCTACCTTGGGTAGCGGATGCTATTGGTGAGCCAGTCATAGATCTTTTCAACACATTTTTATCCCAAACTCGTCTCCCTGGTGACTAGAAAGATATTATAATCAGCCCAGTTTTTGAGGCTGATGGCCCTCAGTTGGTCTATAACTACCGTCCTGTGAGTCTAACTAGCATAGTTATCAGGATTTTTGGAAAAATAATTCATGATAAGGTATTTCAGTATGTTGAATCAACTAATCTTTTGGCACCACAGCGCCAGGTTTTTGTACTGGACAGTTTTGTTTAACAAACCTCCTTATAGCAAGGGAGGAATGGGTTGCAGCCCGCAAATGCAAGCTGCCAATAGATGCCATGTTTATGGGCTCCGGTATGGGATTCGACAAAGTGTCGCGTGTAAAATTACTGGTAAACTTCTCCTCTTTTGGGCTTGGTGATTCGCCGCATGTCTGGAGGGAGGGGAAGAGTGAGGGTAAGTGGGATACTTTCCAGACGGAAACCTGTAGTGAGCGGAGTTCCTCAAGGAACAAACCTAGATCTATTACTTTTCTTGTCATATTTCAACGGACTGCCAAAAACGCTCATTCACTCGATGCTGTCACCCGCCGGGTATGCAAAGATTTTGAGAGCCATGGGCATCGGTGCAGACAGGTATGCGCTTGGGGCGAATTTGTATGAACTAGCGTGTTGGCCCAAACGTCGGCGCCTGGAAATCAACTCGAACCATAGTGCGATAATGTGCATTGATCACAGCACTTGTTTCCAGTATTCGGTTGATTGTGCACAACCTATCCAAGTCTTTAAACAGAAAGACTTGGGTGTCATCATCACCCATGGTTTTTTTCGCACACTGAAGTGCAGCTGCGGCGAACGGCTGCAGTGCACTGCGGTCCACCCACATAGCTTTCAAAACCTTTGGTCAGGAAGTGTTCAGAATACCTCATTCTATTCACTTTAGACCCCACCTGGAATGCTGCATTCAGGCGGGCAGCCAGTGCCTAAAAGAGGATGCTGACGTACTCGAGGGCGTTCAGAGGGTGGGTGCCGAACCTTTCGAACGAACAGATCAGCTAAACTTATCCCCACTGCCTTACCATAGAAAACTAGATGGTCTCATGCCGGTATGTTGTATCCTTAATAGTGATTTCGGTGGTGATGGGTCCCATCTTTTCGCCCATGCTAGGATTGATTACCTTGGAGGGCATCACAAGGAAATTAAAAGGCCGCCATCAAATCGACGTAGTGTGAACCTGCTTCTCTTCTGTCATGCGGTCACTGACCTGAACTCCCTGCCTCGGCAAGTAGTATCAGCACCATCTGGCAACGCGTTCGGGGCGAAACTAGATCTTCACGGAGATATCCTCTCCTAGGATCAACACAGGCCAACGGGCTTACTGCTCTTACAAGTGAAAACTGACTTTCATCGTTTTAAAGAACTGGTTGGGCTGAAGACATACGGGAAGGCATCCGGGCCATTTAACATGCTGTCGTGTTGGGCTGTGTTCCGTGTGTGCCATAGTTTAATGAAGTTATCTGGATGAGCCAGTATTTTGACGCAGTTAGCCGAATATACTTTTCCCAACTGGTTATCCCATTGTATTCATTTTTTCTCTCACCCCTAGGTACTCCAAAAATTCGGAGAACTAGTAGCTGGCATCGAAGTGCCTGGAGTCGGCGTAAGAGCAATTCATAAACGCAACATGAATTTAGAAGGAACATGATGAAAACAGGTGGTGGGAATAACTTCTTGGGCGCTTCATGCACATAGTTTGATCAATGCGTAATCATACTTCGATGATATATCTTTAATTATTAGGATTCCCTTTAGTTTCTCCACTGAATCAACTAACTGAAAGCACCATACTTCGGATAATATATTTTACACCAATTGTACTTAAGCTTGCTTCCACTTTGTGGTGCTTTAAAAGGGGTAGGTCTGCAGCTTTTTGGAAAAAACATGTGCCTTTTTTGTAAATCT